GGCCTTAGCTGTGGCATATGCACTTCATCAGACACGTTATTACATTTTGGGGTGCGAAGATCTGATAGTTGCCACCGACCATAAACCGTTGATCCAGGTTCTCAACGATCGGTCCCTAGCCGATATTAGCAATAGAAGACTACTGAACTTAAAAGAGAAGATGTTGCCATTTAAATTCACCATTGTACATGTAGCCGGCAAGAAGAATTTGGGACCTGATGCTGCCTCCAGACACCCCGTTGGAAAAGGTGACCTGATGCCACTGCCAGGTGAACCAGAGGAACTCAAAGATTTCTACAGCCGAAGCGAGCTCCGTCGCACAACCCTGTTAAGTCTCAGTCAACACACAGTTGATGACGACATGGCCAACGATACATCTCTCAGTTCTGCTGCAGCCGCAACCATCAACTCAGTGTCGCCAGTTATCACATGGGACATGGTACGAGAAGAGACTGCCTCTGATAGAGTATCCAGAATGCTTATTGAGCATATACAAGACGGATTCCCAGAGGACTGCAGAAGCGTGCCAGCAGAGGTCCGCCCATTCCAGAAATTTGCCAATAGCTTAAGCATAGTTGATGGTGTTATACTGATGGGACACAGAATCGTCATTCCTGCAGCACTGCGTGAGCCAATATTGGAAGCCCTCCACTCCGCTCACCAAGGAGTCAGCGCTATGCGTGCCAGAGCTGTTGATTCTGTCTATTGGCCTAATATATCAATTGACATATCGCGAATCCGAGACAGTTGTGGGCATTGTCATCGAATGGCAAAGTCCAACGCTATGCAACCCCCTGCAGACATAACTCCACCCTGATTACCCATTCCAAAAAGATTTGCAGTGACTATTTCACATATCGTGGTAAAGATTATGTGGTCATTGTCGACAGGTACTCTAACTGGCCGATGGTATTCCGATCCGAGTCCGGCGCCCATGGCTTAGTCAAGCGACTTAGGGAGTCATTTGTAAACATTTGGCATACCAGAGGAAATGACGTCTGATGGAGGTCCTCAGTTCACTTCCGGGATAACACAAGAGTTTCTCAAGTCATGGGGAGTACGACATAGGATCACGTCAGTCGCAAACCCCCATGCAAATTGCAGGGCAGAGTTGGGAGTCAAAACAGTCAAGCGAATGTTGGCAGACAATGTTGCCCATCGGGCTCTTTGGACGTTGACAAGTTCAGCGCGCCATGCTGTTTATATAGAAACTCCATTGACCCAGAGACCAGAGTATCCCCTGCCATAATCATATTGGCCGACCTATACGTGACTTAATCCAATTCCCCTCGGCAGATATTCACCCCATGAGACTTGGAGGGAGCTAATGGGTCATCGTGAAAAGGCCCTTGCCCGAAGCATTGCAGGGAACATGAAAGATGGAAAGCTCACACGCGACTGTTGCCACCTCTTTAAGTTGGGGATCATGTCTACCTCCAGAACTTATTGGGTAACCACCCAAAGAAATGGGAACGAACCGGGACAATAGTTGAAGTGCGCCAATATCACCAGTATGTCGTCAAAATCGATGGGTCTGGGAGAGTAACAATCCGTAATCGACAGCATTTGCGGAAATTCATCCCATTCAGGAAGTCACCCACAGGAGGAGTGGCAGTTGACCCAGCTTTGGTAGCCATGAGGCCTGTTGAATTTCATACGAGGCCGGATGTTGGGACACCTGGGCTTGTCAGTGGGCCTCCTGCACAGAATTCAAAACCTATGGATGAAGTACAGATACGACAAAATGCCAGGACACCATTGGATAAGTCTGTTCCGGATGACCTTTCTGACACACCAAGGCGGATACCAAATCCCACAAGTTCAAGATCGTTGGATTTCACCCCTCAAGATTTTACAAACAAGGATAGATCAAAAGATAACTTACCAGGTCTTGGAAAGCCTAAGATTCCACGCGCCCTTGCAAGACTACAGCCATATAATAAGCCTGGTCTTAAAGAGATGTAAATAAGTAGTGGCTATGGTCCATGATACGCTTTTTGAGTGACAGACGCCACTGGGCTTTTCTAACTAACCGGCTTAACTATGGTGCAATATATCACCCAACATTCAGTTTTATATATACCCAATAAAACTTGCCCCCGGGGGAGGGAGATAACTAACCATCTTATATTATGTGTGTATATTGCAGGTACCATCATCCTTTTCCAAACCCCTCACATTATGGACATTTCAACTGGGGGGAGAAGAGTGTAATACTCAATTTCATTTATTACAATTTCATTCATTGTGCACATTTCAATGTTTCTTTATTGCCACTGTACTATTGTGTATCATTGAAATGCCATAATATTGTATTGATCGGCGTATTGGAAAACGATTTCATCCTTTATAATAAATACCGTATTCTAGGAAAGTGAATTATCATTTAATGTTGTCTTCCTTAAATAATAACTTTTTCAATAAATGTTCATTTTACTTTTGCGTCTTTATTATATGTCTGGTTTTCATTTATTTTAAATTCGAAATTGTCCGAAATACTCCAACAAGTGTATAGGTACAATAATAATAGTACTTACCAGGGAAGTTTAATACACACGATGTGTAAAGGGCGTCGTAACTCCCGTTTATTAATTATAATTTTTTTTACATTCTGCTTAAAAAACAACGGCAGTCATCTCACGTAACTCTTGCGACCAAATCTTTTTTGGTTTGTATGGCATCGTCTTGGCGACGAATTTATTGCCGACTGAATTTTAATTGTGTTTTAGGTTAGGTATTTTCTGTTTGTTGGTTTCTAAACTTTACAAATTTGGGTAGCAATTACTATTAATGTGAGATTTGTGCATATGAACGATTGAATATCGCGACTGGATGTCCGATATCTGAGAATGCGTAATTCTCTTTCAACATTAATTTTCAGGATATCAGCGTTCATGTGGTCGAATAAAAATTATTTATCAATGGATTGGTATTTCGAGACACTCTCAAAATTATTTGGGATCCATTATCATATCATTCGTTTATTTTTTATATTCATGTTTTTCTCAAGAATCATCCTCATATTATATTAAGTCTACCTTCGCAAAAGAAAACTCTTTGATGTCATTGTTCCTATTAGTGTAATTGAAATATATGGAAACCTCGCAAGTGGCGTTGTGATGCGAATATTTGATACTAGGTCAGCAGCATTACAAAGAGTGCTATTTATGAATGCTGAAAGTACATGACATTACTAAACATTTGCCAATATATGATGTTTTCTGCCCGATTTAAACTAACTCGCACGCAAACCAAGGCATGTGGACATTTAAAAATTACTTGTCCTTGGGTAAGCTCTGAAATAGTATAATATAAATGTAAATGAGAAATTAGGTCACGCTAGTTCACAAAACAAGGATTTTCAAGGAGCATTTTCAAAGTGATCTTGTGTAATATTTCGGAGAAAAAAGTTTGAAAGGAAAGTAGGTCAAACCTATCTCCTAAAACAGGGGAGTATCGTGCATAATATTTCGAGGGAACGTAAGTAACCTATCTTTTAAAACAGCGGGTGGCGACTTTCGAAGTGGTTCAAAATCACAAATTAATAATTATCAGATTAGGTTTAGGGATGAATCGAAAAGTTGAATTTCCAGCGCACCTAACCCTAATTAGTTGATTGCTATTTATATTTGGGGGGGGGGGATTATTTTGCACCGGATTTGTACAAACGATCCACCCTGTAACTAATATGGTTTCCAAGCCGGCCTCGTGTCTTTAGATGGAAGGAGTAACAAATTTTGAAATTCTTTGCTGTTTACGCGAGTAAGCAACTGACACCGTGATACATTGCATGAAAGTTTTGTCCGCGGCAGGTGTTAGCAGATGTCATTTCCTTGCCGATGAATTTGCTTGTTTTAATTAAACATGAATTCGCCCAAAGGGAACTCGGTTAACGAAAAGGCTTCTCTTTAATTCATAATATTAACCGGAGGAGCCCTTTTTCGAGTATCTATGCCGTTTTAAATGGGTTATATGAAAGGCTAGGGCACCTAACTTGTTAAAATCGGCAAAAGCACTTTCGCACTTTTTTTTTGGACTGCGAAGCACTTTCGCACTCATAATTTGCTTAGAGTTAACACTGATGGTGAGTGTATTCCCAAAATTAAGCATGATGCGCCAACCCTTGACCCGCTTTTGCAAATCAACAGGTCGCAAAAAATTATGACACAGAAAAGAAGTTCTCTTCAAAATTGGATAAACTATTTTTTCACTACAAGAATTTTAAATCCAAATATTTGAACTGAAGTATATAAAAGTTTAGTTCAATAGTTTTTCAAATATTCCAAATAAATTCAGAACAAAAGGCCAGTTTATAATTCAGAAAAACGTCATTACATTGGACTATTCATTGAAAATGCACAAAAGGAAGATGGTACAAGACAAAATTTTCAACTCGGAATTATATATTTTACTTTGAAGCAGTAATTCGATTATCTACAACTTCAAGTTTGAGGGAAATACCTCCCAATAATGACCATTATTTACTGAAAACTGTATTGCTATTATTCATCATAATCACCAATGACGTTTTATAATCTTTATGTGACTCATGATTATGACTGGATGAAATTACGTAAATTGTCAAAGCTAATTGTACTTTACAATACATAGGGCAAGCAAGTAATATTGTTTCAATGCGGAAAATTTTATAAAGAAATATGAGCGCAATTTGATCGTTGTACATAAAAAAACAGAAGAAGTGTTGCAATCTTTGGTATAAGCTTTGGCTAACGAGCTGAAGGCTCATCTAATCTCTTTCCTATTAAATGAGAGTGATGCCATGCGCAATGGTAAAAGGTCTCTTCTAAATGCACTCAATCCTAATTTTTTAGCTGGAAAAATTTTATCAACATAGCGACATATTGTATAACATGTTCTGGTTACTGTTACGAACTGTTTAAATATTCTATGCTCTAAATAATTGAGTTGAAAAGAAAAAATTTTAGTTATTACAAATGATATGTTTTGAATAACAAGAAAATTGAATCTGACAGACTTACGATATTCTCCTGGATTGCTTGAAACAGCGGATGCAGTGAGAAAACAAACATAGGCAGTTACAACAGACGCTTGAAGAAGACCTGATCGTGGTTGAACTGAAAATATAAATATGATTAAAATTGATAAAAAGTGAAACTACATTAAGCGTGGCAATCCATTGCCTTGGACATATTGATATAAATAAATAAATAGTGGTTCTAATGAAAAGCTGATTTTACCATCATAAGCCAAAACAAATATCCAATTTTATAATTAGTTACAGAATTTTTTATTTTTGTGCCGCCAAATGCACATAAAAATACGCCTATATTGATAACACGTTATATTAGACTTGCTAATAGCACATGGAAGAATCTCAATATTTATAAGCAGAACTGCTTTTGAGTGAGTTTTGAGTTATTAAAAATGAAATGGCAATGGTAGAAAACACCAAGTGGTCTCTTCTTGACAAAAAAAAACTTCGGGGAGTTTGTAGACTGGAAAAAAAGGTATAAAATAAACAGTAATACCTTTTTGAATACAAGGTGATACTGCTAGAATTGAGATCAATATAGAAAGAGTGAAGTTAACACCGATGAAAGCTTTATTAGCGGTACATCCTCCTGCATCAGTGTAAAATACGATGAGTAGCACATACCCCACCACAGCAACAGTAAAAAATAGAATAGACATCAGAAGGAGAGCTGAAAAATAGAATTAGGGGGTTAGGTCTTTGTTTGAGTCGATGTAGCAATTAAACCCTTTTTTATTTGGATAATTCTAAACTAAATAAATCCTATGCAATATTATATTAACTGAATGGCTAATTTTCTACTGTTCAATTTCATTACGTTTGATTCCATATTAAAATGAACAACCTTGTCAACATTGTCATATTGAATCAGATGCGATCAAAGTATTAAAACACAAATGATGATACAGACTGTCACAAAAACACAGTGATACAATTTTAATAAAATTATAGCATTGACTATTCAGATGAAATAGCACTATTTTCATTGTATTATTTGATCATTTGCAAATCAAATTTGCAAAAAATTCATATGTTTGCCTATTTCTTTATAAACTCTACAACAATAATTTTGTGACGAATCGGGAAACATTATCAACGAATACACATTCCTGAAGTTTATGGACACGCCAGAAACAATGTTGACGGTTACATTAAAATAAAATTTACAAAACCTTACCAACAAACCAGCACTTATTCTTCTCAACTCCCACAAGCCAAGAAGAATTCCAAGTATGCGCAAAATCGACCAGTAAAAATTAATTGAATTAAGAGAAAAGGACACCACCAATCATACCAATGTACATCCAAACCTCAAGTGAAAAATATGTACAATTAAAAACTTTTCTAATAATTTGGAAAGCAGATGTTCGTCATACTTCAACATGAAAAAAACAATAATCCCAACAATCAAATTCGAATCAGATTTCTTTTGTAAAATATTTTAATAAGTGACCTATTGTGGCTTGAAAGTTGAGAAAGTTCTGTGCCGAAAATATCTATAAATGATTAGTTAGATACCCTAACACTGAGTTGCTATCAATTGTTACTGTCCTAAATTTCATATGATAATCAGGGGCAGACACCTGGGGGTACGATTGGAGAGTGCCCCCTTCTTTACCTAAAGCAGTATTCTTTGCAATTTTAAAAAAGAAGCATTTTTGGCGCTCCCATAGTATGTGTACCAGGTTAGGGTTAGGCCATAATTTTATTCCAATTTTCCTTGTTTTAGTTCTATTACAAGTTTGGGAACTAGTCAAATGACTCCTGTAGAATTTGTAACTGAAATTATGGCCTAACCCCATTCTGGTGCTACATTCCGATGTCCGCCATCTTGGTGCACATACTACGAGAGTACCCATTATTTTAATTAACTCATAATTTTAATACTAATTCAACTCTGGATTGAAGCCCAAATATCAGAAACGCAATTCCATGTTAGTTACAATACAGAATACAAACAATTCACCTTTAAAAACAGTTGAGCATCAGGAATGAAAAATGCACCAACGCATAATCCAACAAGTGCAAGGAATTTGAAGAACCAAAATCTGCATAGATGAAAACACATTTAAGTTTACCTGGTATTTAATTCAATCACCTGTTTATTCATAATCTATTTATTCAAAAAAATTCCATCAGCTGTTAAAATAACTGTACTGAATGTTATATGAAATATTTATAAAAAAAAATAGCACAAGTTGGGATAATAATCAGAATTATAAAAAATAGAAAAATTAGGGGGGGATAAACAGGCCCCATATAAGAGTCAGAGAAAATGCAAGAATAAAATGAAAGTAATAGCCCTTCTCGTGACTTCTTACTGGGTATTTAAAATCGATTTGTCCATTAGGTGCAAATAAAGAGAGTTTTCACGACCCTAACAACAACAACATTTAGCAAAATGATCAATCAATCCACTTTATTTCCAATAAATTATCCATCGTATACCCACCCATTTTGTTAATCCAGCTCGACAATCTTCGTATTTTTTATTCCGAAAGTTAAAATCAATCATCAGGAAGAAAACAAGCCATTCCAAACATTACTTTATAAACAGCTTCATATCCGATTAACATTTTGCATTTTTCAGCACCTATACTGTCACAAATCTCCTTGTAGAATGGAATCTGTAAAGCAAAATAGAGAACAAAAATAAGATCTATATTTCATCTCATTTCAATAGGGATGGCATTCTGAAATTCTAACTTGCGATTCATTTCAAATAATTGGAATGGTAAATCACCTGTCCACTGCGTTAATAAAAAAAATTTAAAGAAAAATTTGAAAAATTATTAATGCCTGATTCCTAAAAAGAAACAGGAGCAATTTGCGTTAATTTCATATATATGCCATCAAATTTATGTCAATTTTTAGAAACAAAGTGTACATATGGATCGTTTCGTTATAATGGTGTTGCTGTTGTTGGTATTTTTTCCTCCTTATCGTTGTGGAAGGAATCACTTTTCCATTACTGAACCAATTGATTTGAAATTTTCAGTGGTTAATTCAAGATTGTATTTTTTACTAGAAGGCTATTCTTTTATTTATTTCGAAACTTTCTGTTGGCCCTAAGTGATTTGTTTTCACTTCGAAATTTTGTGTGTTGACCTTTTCAAAATGAATACAAATTTATCATAGTAGTTCAGCGACCCCTTTCATTCTACGCAAAAGTCAAGGAGTTTTTTGACCAAGGGTACTACTGTACTTTGTGTCCATATATTTGAGCATCGCTTTCTTGCTTTTTAAGAAATGAAATCTCTAGTCATAATTTAGATGGTTAACTCAATATACCAAACATGATAATAAACTGGAAAATATAGTCTGCTCTTTAGTTATAATGCTAAAGGAACAAGCTTAATAAAAATATACACACCTTCTGCAAACCGTCTTGCACAGCAGAGGAGAGCATAGCTAATACTGACTCCAGTCACAAAGAACTAAGAAGAATGTGTACATAAGTCGAGTTCCTGTGGATGTCTTGATGCTGGGTAGGCATGCACAGCATAGTGAACATGCTGCCGAGCCAAAGCAGCATGCAAGCTAGATTTTAAAAAAATGCATTTCGTTATGTATGAATTATGAAGTTATTGTTATTGTGAATCTCAATCATACCAACTGGCAATACCAATTTCAGTTGTGTGATTATCTAAAATTAGGCATCCCAATTAATTTAAAAAATTAGAAATGACTAGCTTGTTGATATCTGACAAATAATTGGTAAAATTTGATTTAAATCAATATCTCACTAGAAAATTGAGAAATATAACATTTTTTTTGCTTAATTATTTTCATCTTTAAAAATCAAATTTTATTCAACCAAATCAATATAAAAGCCAAAGATTTTTAACAATTTCAGATTTATTTATTAATAAATAGACTACAGTAATTGAAAATTTAACTTTTAAGAATCCTTGATTATTCATTGGTTATGCTTTTTCAGTGAAACATTTTGCCAAACTTGTGTTTTAAATCAACAGTACAAAACAAAATGAATTGAACATACCGATCCAAGACACATTTTTGTCTTCAAAATGCTGTTGAGAAAATGTTAAAATACTAACTGTTCTCTAATGTTATACCTAAATCAAGGAGAAGAGGTAGAAAAAATTAGAAGCGTTACTATCCAAAATAATACACTCTAGTAGCAACATAAAATAATATAGTGAACAACCAAATCTAAAAAAATAATTTCCAAGCGGATTTACACATTTCCACTTTTAGCTAAGAGAAGATTACGGTAGGTTATATTGAGCTGAGATATATTGAAAAATTGAAAGGCACTTAAACAGGAATGCTATCTCGGAACCACCACACGATGCACAATTTTGATGACAATATCACACAAAATGAATCTTATAGAGCCCACATAAATTTTTGGGATAAATAAAAGTAATACCCTCCTAGCGACAACAACAATCTTTAACCACTGAAAATTACAAAGTAATTGGTCCAGTAGGCTAGTTATTAAAGAGTAAAGAGAGTTTTCCACAACAACAACAAAACGATCCCATAGATTCACTTTGTGTCCCGTAAAAGAGATTTTGATCAAAACATTTAATTTCAACTCCATCTCCAGGGAATTTAAAACTGTGACTCTGGTTTTAGTAAAAGTATGCTAAACTCAAACTCCGCAGGCCTGTTGGTAACCAGTAATGAAAATATGTCATTCAACAACTATTTCAGATGATACATCTAATATATTATGATTTTCAGCATCATTCTCAATCGAAATATAAACGTTTTCTGCAGTATCATCACATGGCACCATATCAAATGTAAAAGTTGGTGCTACTGTGTCATTGGTATCAGATTCTGACATGACATGCATGAAAGTTTTTTCAATTTCAGTCTTTTTGATCATCCCTAATGAAATTTTGCAGGCTATGATATGGTGACATGATGGTTCAAACAAACAGGTGCAAGTCTCTTTTGGAAATAAAGCAACAACATATGTGCATTTTTTCTCAATAACATTGAAAGATCTACTCTTCGGACATAAAGAAATGTTTTGGGGGTCAATATTAAGTGCGAGATGATATGACTCTGTTCCAATCATTTGATTTAGCTTTCTAGCCTTACTAGTAGAAGTTGATATTGAATACTGGTACTGCATTTTAGGATTTCTATAACCACTAGCAAAAATTTTATCCAATTGTCTTTTGTTTGGCTGTAACTCCTGATCCCTAAAATTGGATATCCTGCTTGCAAAATATGAGGATATTTCATGGAGTTTTGATGCATTGCATTGTAAATGAACCATTGCATCCATAGGCGAACTATCTAATTTTTCCAAATGATTAACGATTGTTGAAAAGGGTTCAGATGATAAAAAATTTGATAGGTCTTTAAAGTTGGCACCGTTGTTTTCAAATGAAACTGATATATTTTCGACATCTGCCAACTTCGGTACAAACTTGCAAATAGTGGACCATATAACATCTCGATTGATATTGGGAGGAGTTTTATGTATAAAAAACATGATTGGAATGCCACCATCAACATAATAAGCATGATGATAAATCAATGCACGAGATTCATATTTACCTACTGAAACAGATTTAAAAGTAAATTTTTGTTCTTCGGACAATGATATTAAACATAATAAAGATGAAAATAATTCAAATATAATGTTACTATAAAGCATTATGAATAAATCCGGATGTGGATTAATATGGGTTTTAAGGGAAGTGTTCAATGATGTAGCATCCATCTTTTTTAAAATTTCACATATTAACTTTTGTTTTTTCTTTTGTGTTTTTTGTAAATAATGTATCTGTGATGTATTTCTTGGTATAGAAACATGGAATTCCATTGAGCGAGGATTCATTGATGTTACCAATTTGTCATATATTTCACCTGGATCACCAACAGAATTCCTACAAGCCTCTAATACTGATTTCCGAGTCATAGAAAAGGGCGTATTACCACGTCGACAGTTACCATGTGGGAATCTGCCTGCAATGGTGTGATCGCCTTTGTATAAAACAATGACTATGTTCGGAAAATCTCGACATTGATGGGCAATTCTTTGAAAACCTTTGCTTGATTGTTTTGGTCCAGTGAAAACATTGAAATAAATCTTTTTAATTAAGTGACCATTACATTTGATATTCTTCGCTCCATTTTGACGCCATCGATATCCATCTGCTCGCCAGTCCTCTGAAATATATGAATGAAATATAAAATATAATTTATGTTACTCTTGCAACAAATATTTGAGAACAGAATCGCACCAAAATGAAAGGAATAATCAAACCAATTCAAATTTGGATATAATCAAAAAATCAATATTATTTATTTTGAAATCGTTAATCAGAACTATTACTGTAATGTGCGATATTGAAAATTGTAGAAAATAGAAAACTGGTCAAATCATATAGAAGAATACATTCGTAAGACTGAAAGTAGATTATTCAGTTTTGATAATAGCAATCAGCATTAGTGATTATTAATTCAAGATCAAAAATGAATACTACATTCAACAAAAACTTCTAAACAAAACAATTTCCGCAAGTGAATGGATTCTTAGAAAGTCAAAAAAGTGTCTGGTTTTCTAAGCGAAAATCTAACAATTATACAATTCACAAGGAAATTGAAATTCTTAATTTTCGCAATTTCTAGATCACCGATACCTGTACTCACTATTGAGATATTGAAAAATAAGAGAGGTCCTATCTTTGAATAGTAACTACGCCAATACTGCTATACTGTGAGGGTACCATACATGAAAGTTTACTAACGTTTCTTGCTTTTATTTCCAGCAGAACTGAATGCATAGCATGTCCCAGCTTGTGGCAACATTGGGGGATCTGCAAGTAATTGTTCTTTTCCACAGTAAACTCGTTCAAAAAATTCCACAATAGTCTGGTTTTCCTTGACTTTTCCCATAATTCTGCAATCTGATACGCCAGTTCATCAATATCTACCGTATTTCTGACAGTGCCGTGTTTTATCCTTTAGCTAGCCAAATATCCTACACCCAAAGATATGAATTCATAATTATGCCGAAAGACAAACTAATTTACGACTAATGTACTACATCAGTACATTCAGACACTAGGAACCATATTATTCCTTCGCTATTTCGACCATAAATAGATAAGTGAAATAAAACAACAACACAAGGACAAAAAATACCTGTCACGTGAATCCGTGAATCATGAGGGACAACACTAAACTTTTTAGTGACTTCAACCACCTCGTTATTCGTGGGAATAAATTTCATCCACTTCTTCCTTTTAGTGTTCAGCCTTTTAGTGTTTTTTAATTTTTCACCCTTGGGAACACTTCAACTTCCGTTTTTCCTCCACTTCATCCGTTTCTTCCTTCAGCCTTTTTAGTGTTGTCCAATCATGAGCGACGCGAAACAGCGAAATAACTTGGATTGTTTTGTAAGGTAATTGTCGGGGGCCTGCCTTGTCTTCATCAAAGTGACACTTCGGTCTTCATATAAGTTATAGTATCAAATCAGCGGTATTTTTTCGTTTGCTTGTAAAATGTAGTAAAATATGATCAATGGACGAAGTACAAAATTTCACGGCATCGGATGCATTGACGTTCATGGAAGAAGTTTCGAGTGGGTTGAAATCTTCCAGCGATGTTCCGATCGTTCTTGCAGGTGGTGGAACATGCTATGCATTTTGCAGCTTAGAAAATCCACGAAAGAAAGGTAAGCACGTCTTCGTTTTTTGTTGTCATCCTTATGCATGTGTTTTTCTAGGTAGCCTACAATCAAATTTATGTTGTTGTTTTATCTTGATCGAGGTTTTGATCGGTGATGAATGTGTTTTTCCCTCTTAACTCCTCCCATTACTGCATTACCGTAACGGCACTCGCCATTAATACTTTATACGGTCATAGTTATATTGGAATTCATGTACTTCGAGATTTTAAATGACATCACTGATAATTTTATCCACAGAGTCAGGTGCAAAGAACATGTAAAAAGTGAATATTACTTGAAACACTACTTTTTACAATATACAATTCTGGCTCTGATATCATTGAGATCCATTGAGCATGACAGTCCAGAAATATATTTAATCACAATAATTTCTTTATTTTTTTACAGATGACTGGAAAGCAGATGGGTATCGTTGGCGACATACTGGCAAGGCCAAAATTAAAATTAATAACACTGTAATTCGCAAAACATACTTCAGTGTATTCTCAGCTCCAAAAATTTATACCTCTAATTTTCGTCGAATATCTCACGAATGTGATGAATATCCTCACATTGTTATAGTCTATTACAAAGGAGATAGTTCAGTAGCTGGTAACTTTCCTCATGGCAACAGGAGATGTGGTTCAAAGCCGTTTATCAGAACATGTCCATCTGTTTTGTTGTCATGTAAATATGCAAAAGGCGAACCTTCAACGATATATCACAGCATGATCAAATCCACGTCTAATGAGAATGACTGTGCTATCGGAACTCAATTATCTTTACCTAGAGATATTTTACAAGTTGCCAATGTCAAAAAATACATGAGAAAAAAACGCAAGCTTACTCTTAGTGCAATAAAAGAATTACAAAATGAAGATGTGGAAAAATTCATCATTGATATTTCATGTCAAGTTGATAGTTTATGTGCTGTTGTGTATCAAGAACAAAGGTGTCAAAAAATTAATTCACTTTTGTCCAGACTTCCATTGTCGGATGGAACAACATTGACATACTGTTTGTGTTCTCATTTTAAAGACTATAATATAAATGTTCTTCTGTATGAACACCAGGATTCAATTATAATTCAGCTTTTGTTTTTCATACATCATTCAAAATCTACAATTAATTTGGAATCGATATGGGAAATTGCAAATAAGAAAATCCCAAAATTGTCATTACAGAATATTATATTGGAAAAGAATGATGAGCACTTGTGGATGACTACACAGAAGACAAATTTTGACTTTTCCCCTTTTATATCTGTTATAGAAAAATTAAAAATGTGGGATGATAATCCATGTAATGCAATTGATGACCTGCAATGTACTGCAAAGCATCTTCACAATCTTTCATTATATTATCGTTCTTCAGCAAAAAATTTACATTTAAAAATGAACAAGCATGGGAAATATCGAATCAATGATAAGTTTACTGGATTATTAGACTTGATGCAAGATGATGTTCTTCTTTGTTGTACTCCAACCTTTGAAGAAGCTACGGCATGCTATCAAAAAGCTTTTTCGACGAATCGTAACGCAGATAAACTGAACCACAATCCACTTGAGCTCGCCCGAAATATCATTGACAGAAATGGAATAGAATTTAAATCCACTACTGGTATATTTTTAATTACTGACAAAATTTCAGTATGGACTGTAAAATTATTTCCAGTTGAGACATGTCACTGTAATTTTCCATCTCCATGTCATCATATCATTGCTGCTAAATATTCAATTGGAATTCCTTTTCCTAAACCTACTTTGATGAAACAAAGTCAGTTTAAACGCAGAAAGTTATCTCATGATTTTCAACCTAATGGAAAAATAATTGTTGAAATATTTGAATCAGAAAATGATGACACAGGGAAAGATGATGAAAGTGTTTTAATTGAAAAGGCCCCATGCTATTAGAGTTGATAATTGTTACGAGTACAAATGTCCGAACAAGCCTAAGTTTGAATGAAATAAAAATGAACTACCATATTTTACCGACTATAAGGCACACTTCAAATAATTTTTTCTTCTCAAAATAACCATGAAAAAATTGTTGTTTTCTTGTTTAATGAGCTTTGCACAATCTAAGCAATTTATTGTCTGGTATTTGAAAGTTTTTTCAAGCTTTATCTAATCAAAATCGCTGTTTCCTGTAAGATTTTCAATCTAATCTACTGATGTTTTTCTTCTAAATTAACTCATTCAAGCCTTTTTCAACTCCCTACTTTTAATCATTTTCCACCCTATTACATTAAATACTGACGTTGGTTATAGAGTATTTTGGAATACTGATGCAACTGAATATAGACATATCTCATGTACTATATTGTTTCAATTAAAATTCTCTATTAACAAGCTTTTATACAATAATTAAATACAGAATGAATCGTCCTAATGTCTGCTTTAACATTGGGAAGTCAGATTCAGTCCTTCCATCAAACTGAGACTTTTTTAGATTTAGTACCAACTTTTCACGCACTATTACTGCTAGATCAGAGAATATATGGGTATCGGGCAGTTGAACTGAATTATCCGGCAGGATTGCTGCGATTACATGATGTCTTGGGTACATATTGGTGGCCATTTCACCTTAACCATTGGTTTATATTTAATTAATGGTGGTGTAGTTTGAAGGCGTTATGGCTGACAGAGAATGCAGCTCTTTGTGAACTGGAGAGAAAAAGTGCTTCAAGATTGTTAGTGAGGATGCCCATGGTAAGATGAAATTTATTAAAAAACCAAACCACTTAGCATTTCATTCATTCCATGCAGAAATGACCCCTTGCAATAAAAATAGTGACCATTTGATATTCTTATTGAATGTATATGGGAAGGGTGCCGATGCCCACACTCGATTATGTGGTCACCACTAAAAATTAATTTCCATTCATACCAAGCCAGATTTCCTTCTTTCAAAACTTCCCATTTGCAAAAACAAACTCTTCGCGAAATTGGCAGTGTTTTATTATATACAGTAGGCAGTGAAGACTGAAAGAACAATCTACCATAGGAACAGTAATGAAACAAAAGCTTATTTACAAAGAAATTGAGTAGAACTGATAAATTCGTACTTTCAAATTTCAGTTCTAATAAATCATCAAATTCAGTATGGATATGGCCAACTAGACAGGATTATGTTTTTGTTGGCAATCAAATACGTTTTAAACAAGAAATTATCTATAACCTGATTTCCGCTAATACAACCATGCATACCAAAATAATTCAAATAAATGCAATGATTTCCATAACTAACTATACAAACATGAACGAAACCATTTATACACTGCCAAACAAGGCAAATTTGCAGAAACCCCAGCCAATGTATCATTTGGTAGTAAAGGGAAATTTTTTTTTGTGCACGATAATTTATTACTGTGAGCTTAATTTCTCAATGTCTGCAATTAACTTTCTTGAAAAATCCTCATGTGCAATAGGTGAGATTTCAACAACTGTTGATCTCAGCCGCTCTTCATCCTGAAACAACAAGTCATATTACAGAGAAACTCTTTCCACCAATAAACAATTCACAAGCAGGAGAGGCCAAAATCAGACTATTTCTAAAACATTTTGATTTTTGATGATATAATATTTTGGAATATCACATATGTTCTAAATTAAGAGACTCGATGCACACTAACTCAAAAAATTTGAAGTGTGACCTTGGTCGGGTGGCACCCTATAGAAATACAATTGTGTTTTAAATCACTCGGAATAGTTGTCTTCACTCTTGCTACAGCATCCGTATATTATATGCATACTGAGTAACAGCATAAAATGGTGTTTCCCGACTGCTTGTGGCCCCCTTCCCAAAGGCTTTTAGCACTCATGGCCCCCTTTTCATCATTTCCGTGGTATTTATAGTGTTATTTTGATTGGTATATTCTAAATCCCTCTATATTCAAACAATTCATGCTCAACAAAGTGAAAACACTCTGTAAAATAACCATATCAAGCAATAAAACTAGGATCCTACATTGTATCTCTCCATTTTCACACGAATTTTGAAGAAGTAAGAAGTGAAATTTGGCTTTTTTAGAAGTTCTTCAAATTGTGCTTCATTTTCTTCCATCAAAGCTCCGATTTCATCAGCTTTTGAACCAAGTATAATTTCTCCTTGTTCTTGGAAGCATGTCACCCAAATATTGTCAGTCTCATCTGATATATTCATCTAAAGCCAATATACAACAGCTTATTTTTTAAATTTTATTAAGGAAATTTGCTCAAAGCAAGGTCACACGTACTCACTCAGATAGATACAAAGAAGAATGATCTCACACTGACTAAATGCAGAGGAACTACAGCCAATTATAATATTTGTAAAATATGGCACAATGACGCAATATTTAGCCAATCGGGAATAATTTGCAGTCTGGACACTGATTAGAAACCAATCACATTTGATATACTTTTTTGAATTCTGTCCGTTTTGTGAAAAGGTTTTACTTTAAATGTAGAGCTAAGTCTATGTTTATGAATAAACTATAAAGGAATAAAACTGAATGAATAAACTATAAAAAGGTAATCTGGCTTGGTAGATGCACTTGGGATGAATGGAAATCCATTTTTAATGGTGACCAATAAGGGGTCATTTCCACGCTGCATGGAATGTTACAAAATGAAAAGTGCAGAAAATATTTTCCTATGCATAATGGTATTGCTAACGTACTATGAAAGTGTTTGCTATCAGTCTGTTGGTGTTTAATCAAAACTGCGACAGTGAAATCCAATTTGCATTGTTGCATGGGTTTTATTTCCATAACTGTAAACCGTATTTCTTTTAAATAATTATTTATGTCAGCATTCTGATTTACGGCTTTTAAAAGCACGCTAGTGATGAAATTGGATATAACAAATAATAAGATTTCCATACATTGAGGATCATCCTGTATTTGAAGTCAGGAGACTCCTTGTTGCATTTCTCACATCTGAAAGAACCGTTCTGCAAATCAATCACTTTCTTATTACATCGTTCAGTTGCACATGCCTAAAAATTGAAAAAAGAAGATAATTATCATCCTTTTAGTGTGGAAGTTCCCAACTTGTCAACAAAATTACTATGCTCAAACGTTGCTACTGAAACCCTGTTTTACACAATTCCCTTCCACATTGACCGAAATTATCTAAAATTAGTTATCTACTGATATTTCTGTCACAAAGATAAATCTAAATATAGCAGTTAGTAAGTCAGAGAGCATAATGAGATTTGGAATCCATCGATCAAAATACCACTGGAATGATGACTATGTACTCAGGAACATACATATTTTTATGAAATTGTTAAACATGAGGGTAATTTACAATACTGAATGCAAATTACCTTATATAAAACATTCTCCTTTTTGCAATAAGTGACAATACATTTACATGTCACATAGTCAGGTTTGTCACCCATGCCCATGTTTTCTTCTTTTATATCTTCCAGAGTTTTCCAGTTTGTAGCTGTAAAGCATTTCAAAGTGATAATTAGTTGTCAAAACATGAAAGGAATAAAGCTATAGCGTAGCCATTGATTAGAAGCTATAGTATATAAACTATAGCAGAAGATTATCAATAATGAAAAATGTGTTACATACTGTATGCGCCTCCACCACCAGTTGTAGTTACTGATGTTGTTTCTTGGTTGCAACCTCCAGATTCAAACCTAGAAAAATTACAAGTGAAACAATATGTTATAAATGTTATGAAAGGGTATTATGTAGCAAAAATTTGAATTAATTGGGAAAAAACAATCAACTGGTCTTACATATTACTATTATTAAATAAAATAGTAATAGCAAATGACCAATGGAAATTTGACATAGCTTGGTTATTACTTTACAACATATATCAAGGAATTCGTCGCAACGATTGTCTATCCATCAATACTGGCCCGATGACCTACCTAGTAGTATGAGAATTAGCGACGTAGGTTACAGATCTCTCTTTAAACCCATGCCCAACCAGGCCCAATCAAATCGATAGGTTTTTTTTTACAAGACCTTGTTTGTAACGGGAAAAGCAGTAAAATGTGATAGATGTATGTGAGATTTTCAGGAATTTTGAGTAACATTGGTTTTGGGCATACAAACAATATGTCGAATTCTTCTTTTTTTCAATCCAATTCATTGTTGCCATATTTCATCAAATATGAAAAAAAAGTGTCATATTTATCCATCCTGAAAAAACTCAAGTCACTCAGAATTCAGAAATAAATTTCACCATTGTTTCAATTCGAATGCTTCTGGAATGTCAGGATTCTTCATCATTGTTGTTGAACTAATGGTAGATATCGAACATCCACCAAAATCAGACACTCTCACACCTTTACATGCAATAACTGGAGATCCTTCAGTATCAAATTTCTCTGCCTAGAAATCAAAAGCTAAGTTTGCTTTTTTATGTACACAACACGTCTTAAAAACTCCATATTATTCATAGCAATACAGGCTCAACTGGTAGGTAACAAATAATATAATTTAGCCAATGTTTTGAATGTTTTAACAGACAAACTTCGTCAGATAATAAAGAAAATAGCACAACATGGCCCTATTCTTTCCCCTGATAAAATTTGTCTGTATAGACCAGTGTACAATTCTTCCCAAAGAGTACAATTTATTTTGGTACGATGAAAAATTCATTAATCATATTTTACATTGATTAGCTTATATATATATTCTCACCATAACCCTGGAGAAAAGCAGAGTACGGCGCGACAGTAATTCTGTAATATGTTTTTATATCGCCCCCTTTGAGAACCACTTGGCTAGACTAAATGTTTACTTTTTACCAGTTTCATTACTACATGCTCATACGCAACCATCGCCCTTTACAATATAGTTGAACTTAACAATATAGATATAGAACAAAAACCAATTTTATGATTTTGTATATGTTTTTAAGCTTCAAAATCTCAATACTACAAATCTTGATTTGGATAGATTTAACTTCAATAAAAAATAATTCCGTTATTTAGACCTCATCTCCCCATAACGTCATTTGAACTTCAGCTCCTGATTTGTCAACAAGATGGAGGTTTCTTCTTTTCGTTTCTCTGTTTTGGCTCTTTATCATGATTGATACTGGTTCGTCAGCGAATTTCACAACACCGATCACATCTGAATAGAAATAACAATGTCGACTAATTTGTTAAACAAGAACAATATGATCACTTTCCATGAAATAGCTTTCGTTGGATCATAGTCTATTTTTATCAGACATATAACTACAACGAAAAAAAAAAAATTATAATAATTGTCAACTTCGAAAAAATCTATGGATAGATAGATTTGGTCCGTCTCCGAATAACCAACTAGGCTACAAAAATTGATGTGGGTGGATTTGTAGCATCTCTGTGGCAATGGACGAATACGGATCCAATGTCGGAGGTAGACAAGGAGAAAGGTTCAATACATCAGTACCACCCCTGTATTTCAAACATTATTATAATTTTATTGAGCATAATTACCTCAAAATTTATTTATTAATCAAACTGTCCTACCAGTCTACATAGCCATTGCCAGCAGTTAATAACCTCTATACAACAATATTGTGTCACGTAAAGATTCAAACCTACAAACTTACGCAAGGCAAGCAGTTAACAACTTATACCAGTGCTTCTTAACCTTTTTCATATCGCGGCCCACTTTCACTTCGCGGCCCACCCCTAATTAGTTTTTTATCAGAGGCTAAAATAAGTCGAGGCAGGGTTGTCCAAAACGAATGCAAAATTAGATTATATTCGAATATCAATGTAAGTTCAAAATTTTTGAATATATTTTCAGTAAATTTTTGAATAATTCCGAATAATAGACACTTTTCGTCGGGTGTTCGTATTCGAGAGAACTGTTCAAACTATTTTCTGCATTTTTTCATGTATCCTAATGCGGTAAAATAGAATAGTTCAAAACATTACTATTCTCGAATACCACCATCGCATGAATGACAAAGATGGCCGCAGACGCAAATAATAGTTACGTTTGAATGCCTGAAGTGATGGAATCGACTGGTATCCTCATCAAAAAATCGAAATATTTTCAATTTCAAAACAAAATATATAGAAAAATGCAAATAATTTGGCAACGAGTTTGCGGCCCACCATGAGATGCTTGGCCAACCAGTGGGCCGCGGACCATCGGTTGAGAAGCGCTGACTTATACCTCGCGCTTCAACAAGGCCCCGAACCACTGATATCTTACAATATGTAAGGAGCCACCATCATTTGAAAAACCTGAACTTTTCAACAACAAACCTATTAGAATTGCACTTACCAACAATCTGTGAAATATGATTGGATAATTTTGAGACAGGAACAAAATTATAAATGACTTTGGGCAAGTCTCCAACTTCAGAATCTTCACAAGGGTTGATGATTGTTTCACGTCTTAACGTCATCTCATAATCATGTGTAGTGTTGTTATATTGTTTATTTGCTGGTTTCAAAGTTGCGTTCGAAATATAGTAAGCCTGAAATCGGAGAATAAATTAATACAATTTATGTAATAAGGGATTTCAATTGTCAATATCAAACAGTCTGGAATTGCAGAGTTTAAGCTTTGCAACTAATATTTATTTAAAGATGTCTCATATTTCAATATTCTTGAATTTATAATCCAATTTTTATTTAATATATGTAATTTTATGAGCCCTCGTTTTTTTTTTCAGTTTCCAACTTTCCCTCTGTACAAGCTACAAGCGACCACTACTATTTTTGAAAGGATCGTAATCTTTCCGATTTAGCATTGGCCACCCCAGGTGTTTATCTGCAATTAAGTGAATTACAAGATTGTGCCATGATTAGGGGTGGGCAAAATCGAATATTTTTTTTTCAAATCGAATAGTTTGAATATTTTTAACGAACACCGAATAGTCGAATAACAAATTTTTTTTATACACAACAGGATGTCTACAACGTCGGTCGATACTCCCTTTGGAAATTAATTTCTCGCGCAATTCACGATCGGTTCAGAGACGTTCTGTGTCCAAGTGAAGCGGCGCAGATCACGTGGTACTCGATATTCGAATAGTAAAATGCCATTCGAATAATTTAATATTCGATTCGCTATTCGTTATTCGAATATTTTGCCCAGCCCTATCCATGATAGATAGAAAAAATTGATTTAAGGATCCTAGCTTAGATGGTGGAAAAGCTTTCAAATAAACTTTCTGATCAGCAGTGTTTATCTTCACCGAAACTACAGTGATACTTCGGTAGCCGAACATAATTTGTTAAGGATTGGTGTTCGACTTCGGTTCCGGTGACGTCATTTCACTCAGGTGTTCGAGCATAAAATTTCCATTAGAGTACAGCAACACTTTTGACTATAATTTTTTGGTACCAAAAACTACCAAATTGTTCGAGTATCGTGTCGTATGACTACCAAGGTATCACTGTAGTTTTTTGAAATTTTGATGTTAATGTAAAACAAAATCACAACCAACAACCTTGCCAGTTTCCAGCATATCATAAAATTTATCAACTTCTTCCTTGAAACAAGTGACTCGAATATCACCAGATTCATCCAGAACAGTGAAACTGAATAGTTTTCCTTCTCCTTTGGCATTTTTCCATTCTCGAACAGATCCTTTTTGTGTTACTCGAGCTTTTATCGTCCATCTAATTGTTAGACAGAAAATTGGGAATATATACAGGGCCTACTAATGAATCAAATATTTGAAATTTTAAAGAAAAACCGTAAATTGTTGATTCTTATAGAAATGAATCAAAGAATAGAAAAAATTTTGTCCTGGGCAATTTACGCTGATACAGCAGCTCAGTCACGGGGTACCGTATCTCTACTTATGGTATATATATTAACCAGATATCCAATAATAATCTAAAACATTTTGGAGACCGACAATATAGTTTGCTCTGAAATGAATGACCAAATCTGAATAGTATATTAGTCTGTTATTCATTTGGGAGATTACTAAGATTCAAAATGTTAATTACAAATCAAAAATATTGAGTCTCATTTATTGATCATATTTTATGAGCAGTAATGGCCCATGGAACAACTTACTGAAAATAATATTTTCAAATATGCAACATCGATTACCACCTCGGTACATTTTAATTTAGGTAGGCCATGTGGTTTGAATGTCGCTGAAAAATTATTACTTGTTCTGATAAGGAGTAAGGCTAGCAATCGGCATCACTCTCATCGGTGTTCCTCCTGGGGTGTTTGGAGTGGTCCCCTTTGCAAATGGCATTTTTCCAGTTGGTTTGGGACTGTCATAAGCAGAAGTAGAGTTTCCATTTGTTTTGTTGGCTGTTCCATTGAAGGATGGTTTTGGCCTCGAACTACCTTTCACTGAATATAAATGTCAGGATGACAATTTATCAAAAAAAAAATTCATCTACCATAAAATTACAAAACAGCCAAATTTGGAGTTCAAAAATATTCACCATGGCTGTGTCACAGCCAATACTAATTTCAAATCTAGGTGCTCCCGAAGTATGCGAACCAAGATGGCGGACATCGGAACGTAACATGGGTAACAGGTTATGATTAGGCGATAATTTTTTTCCAATTTTTCTTATTTTAGTCCTATTATCAGTTCAAAGACTAGCCAAGAGCCTCCCGTAGTATTCATACCTAAAATTATGGCCTAACCCTAACCTAGTACACATGTTACATTGCGATGTCCGCCATCTTGGTTCGCATACTTTGGGAGCCCCCAAATCTATTCTCTTTAACACTTGAACTTTAGTCCGTGTATGATTATACCCAAAAAGTTTCAGTAATCCAGGACGCCTCGCACAAAAGTAATATTCTGTCTAGAATATGTGTCAAATGACCTGGGTTTTGTTTTGTTTTTCTAGTTTTTTGAGTGAATATTCAAAAATTATTCATAAAGTATTTATTTATCCAATTATATAATTATAAAAGTATGATAATATTTGACTCATGTTAGACATCTATGTCAAACCTATATAACATAACTTCATCAACATAGCATTTCCTGAAATATTCATAAAATATAAAAACAAACCAAAGTTAGTAGATGATACTGGATCTCCGATTCTTTGCCCAACTTCATCACCTGTTTTGAGTATTTCAATCTCAAGACAAACGAGGATATGCCTGGTAAAAAAAAGCAGTTTTAATGATCTGAATAAAAAGAATGATGGCGTGTGGCGTTCTCCAGTCGAGAAGATTTCCTTCCTGCAGAAGATTTTATTGTAAAATATGAAAGTTCGGGAACCACTGGACCAGTGTTTGAGGGATGGATCTATGGAACAAAGGGAACGTACAGTAATGAAAATACTCATTAGAAAAGATAAAAGACTACCTTGATTGCTGTAGTACTGAGACTTGATATTTTGTTAATTTGATAATTGCATATTTATCAATTTTCTTCTCTTTCACAAGATGATTTAGCTGAGTGGCAAGCATGGTAGCTGAATAAAAAAATAAGTATGTGTAAATTGTGGGGTTAGCTATGCTAGTGTAAATTTAATGTCAAGAAAGAAGCTAGTCGCAAAGTAGGTAAGACAACATATGAGAATTCATAAAAAGGCATTATTTAAATATGAAATCTCACTGGCTAAAGAATATTCTCCATCTGATACATTGAGACGAACTCTTTCGGTCGCACTGCTTTCAATAATTTTTGTTCCCAGCACTTGAAAAACTGGATTTTCTGGTTGCTCATCACTCAGAATTGCCTGAAATGTATATACAAATGTAAATTTTTTGACTAATCATGAATCAGCTGATGCTGTAATTTTCCTCACTTCGACATACAATTCCAAACTGATATAGCTAAACCAAATTTATTCTCCTAAACTTAGTATTTTTTGAGTTCTTCTCATTTTTCATTGATCAATTAGCATCAAAACCATTGATACACACATTTTTTAAATTCGACAAACTGACAAAACCTATTTATAACAGTATACAAACACCCCAACTTATACAATAATCTAACAGATAAAAAAAATTATTAAAAATTTAGTTTAATTAGAGAATGACTTTAACTGTATTTGTAAACCATTAGACAATACTGTCAGTAGACTGAATGGAACGTACCATAAGAGATTGAAAAGAAAAATACTTACAGCAACAACCCCTGGCTTAACAAGATCTGCCATCGCTACAATACAGCAATATAACTTGATAACGATATACAGGTATAACGGTTCGAAACTAACCTAGCACAAAGTTTGATACCTGAAAAAGAGTTGAATAGTTAAGAGATACCACAGTCTACTTGTCTACTCGCGTGTAGTTCACGATCTTTTCTGCACTGTAACCACCATATTCTTCCTGCGTCAAATTTAAACTATCAAGTCCTCCGTTAAGCACGGGCCACTTAGTAATTTTCTTTCTACAGGCGGCCAACATGACTGCATGAAAGAATGACAGCAAACAGCAGCCAACCTCAAGCTGTCAAGTAGATCTAATACCTGAATACAGTAATATGATCAACATACCCCCTTTCCCGCCCTTTGCGATATCTGTTGTTATGCTTTCTAGTTGGTAGAGGATAAATTCGAAACTCGAATTCGGTATATTCGATTCTAGGAGAAAATAAATTTTTTGTTCATTAAACAATAATATTAATATTTGATTATTCTTATTTTGCGAAATTATTTTTTATGTCTGATAAAATGTTGTCACCAAAGGCGCTAGTGAGCAAAAATGGGACGCCACTCTCAGCCCCCTTATCCACAAATAAGACACACGCATAAATCAGCTTCTTCTTTATACACTTGGCAAAGAACAGCGGTTTTCTTAAATGAATAAAACACAATTGATTAACCTAAGTCACAAAGCATATATCAACAACAAAAGGCTAATTTCTTACTAAACATTTTCCAATCCGGGTGGCTAATACAATTACAATATATATATAGCAGATAAGTAAACAGTCCACAAAACGGACAAATATCTGCGGCTCTTACACGACGAGTGCGTGATGCGAAAATGACCGAAAGGAAAACGCTAGACCAGACAACAGATAAAATTACTAATTTACGCTACAAGCACAGGGAAAAAGGGTAATAATGGGTCTACAATGATTGGTTACAAGGCAGCGCACGATGCACTGCATACAGAGGCAAAATGTATAATAAAATTATATGGTGTGGTGGTGTGGCTCAACGGGCTAAGCGTTAGGAATACGCTCGCCACCGCACCTCAAATTACTCTGCGTGGGTTCGCAGGTTCGAATCTCATGCAGGGATGATTATGTGCGAGAGGATTGCTGGACTCCTCGCCGTCGTTGGGTGGTTCACGTAACCGCTGATCGGTTACGGCTTCCTCCACCACCAAGTCCATGCTTCCGAAAACAAAACAATATATATAACTAATCCCATACCCGACTCGGAATGGTAACCGGACGAGAGGCCGTGGTTCGCCATATGGATAAGCCGTCTTATAGGCTTTCCTCTCCCCCGGGATAAATATGTAAATCCTATCCTAAATTAAGTATCGGGTGAAAGAAATGATTACTGCGATAACCACGTCATAAATCGAAAAAAAAAGTTCGTTTTCCACACCTTATTTTTTTTTTGAAATTTCACCGAGTAAATCTTGTCTATATATATATAATGAATTCCTATTTGCGTTCTTCCTGTTCTAAACTGAGACTTGAGGTATTTTTATCAGGTAAACTACCTAACGTCTCAGTTCTGAACAATGGCAGGCCAACTACCATTTGTTTTAAGAATAGTATATCAATGAGGAATTCGGGTCGCGACGGGCTCATGTTACTCGACATACTTATAGGCAGAAGAATCAGAGCAATGTACAGAGGTCCCCTAAATCTTCTCAAGTGACTTCAGAGCCTAGAAAAAACTTTGGGACTTCTAACTTATCGGATTTTGATAACAAGATCTCTGGCACACGCAAGCCTTATTAATTTCTGTTACAGAGTTTTTGTCAGGAATTACCATTGAATAAAATTCAGACCATTGTGCAATCAAAATTTAGAATCCAGGTATCCTGAAAATACACCTCTGACTCTGCATCAATCAAACCATGCCAATATTCAAGTACTCAGTCCTTTTATAAAGTATTGAATTGAGTAACGGGTGCGCCATGTTAGAGGGAGCTTCAATGCACCGTTTTTTTCATCATGTTTAATCAAACATAAGAATCACTTCCCCCCATGGCGGTGTGGAGCTATGAGGTTGGTAAATCTGATAAAAATTACAACCAAATGTAAGAAAATCTTTTACTGCAAATATAAACTTTAATCTAAACTAAAGCAACAATATATTATTTGATACATAAAATGTCAAGGATATAAAAAAGTTAGATTGCGAATAGATTCATCCAGCATCAAAATATTCACAGCAGCTAACTAAAAATAATAATAATATGCTACTTGGTTCCCTAACACACAGTTATGTTTTGTCGTAGCTTCCGTTCCTGATTAACTGAATGCATTCGGAAAGAAAAAGATTCGCATGAGCCCAAAACTATTAGCATCCAAGCATTCGCTAGATGCATGATACATTTCAATTCACACACGGCACTTTTCTGTGTGTAAACATTTGAATAACATTCAAGTATAAATATCTATCCTATCCACAAATATGCTCTACTACCGATCTTTTAATGAATATTAGTTGAATAAAGGCATGACACATCTCTCTAAGTATAAATAATGGAAAACAAAATATAAATATGTAATACTTTGTGGGTCTTACACAACTATTATCAAAGAATCTATTATACAGTATATTATATACTTCAAACGATTAATCTTTGAGAGTATTTATTTGCAACCTATTTTTCTCCATTCATATTAATCTGAGGTAAGCTGTAAGAAGATTCATCCGCAATGACTCCTTTCAATGGTCTGAAATCGCCATCTTTTGGTGTTGAACAATCCATCATATTGTTTCTCCCATTCATCATATGCACTGAAGTATCTCTTGTTGGAATATGAGACTTTAAAAAGGAAAAAAAAATAGTAAAAATTTGTTCTGCGGAACTTATTACTGGCACTAAAATTAGTTTCTTAAATTATAACTTCAAAAATGAACAGTGGCGAATCTGTACAACAGAGTTGACTAAGCTCGAACGTTTATTGCCAATATCTTCAGTGAAAGCGAAATACTTTGGTGAATAACTACATCCCAAAGAACTTCTAAACTTTTTGAAAAGGATTAGTTTACAAGTTGCGGTAAAAACCAATTTTTATCTCCGCAACAACAATCACATAAACAAAATTTCATCAACTCTCATAAAACTATTTCAATGTCCACTAAGCTCAAAATGAAAATGAGGTTACATTTACATCCGACAAAGTAACATATCCATTTTCTCTTTTACAAGCATCATGAAGTTCTTGTTTCAAAGCATTAATGTGGGATCTGTAAGATGCGATCTGATCTTCAAGAGATGTTATTCGTGATACTGCACTGGATTGTACACGTACAAATGATTGAACAGCTCGCTGTCAAAAAAGTCATTTGAATAACTGTAGGAAAGTTAAAAATTATCAAAGTAATTGAGCTAGCACATGGTAATTTGATTAGGCAACGATTAAAATGAAGCATGATAACACTATCAGACGTGGCATAAACACAGAAAGTGATAAAAAAAAGTTACATTGAAAACAGATGGAAATCTCGAGACTGCGCTCACCCTATTATTTAATTTCACAATACTAGAATATTGGACAAATGTATTGCCTGCAAAGCAGTCATATTACTATTGTTAAGTTGTTAATAATAGAAATGCTAAGTGATTTGCTAATTGTTGGAAATCACAGCGTTTATCTTTTTTCAATTGAAAGCAAGAACAAAAATTTAAGAAGTAACATGGAGAAAGTGAACCCTGGTCTATGCCTAGATATTTTCCAAATTATACATGTAATGTATTATGAATACAGTTTAAAAAGAGGAGAATCTGTATTGAAACTATTTTGAATTCCTAGTGAAAAAGACTGCATGAATAATTCTTCAAGATAGCTGTTATAACAAGGCTAATCCTGCCATGTTCAACATAGAAACGTAGATGTATTCAACAAGTGTAACTAACCTGAGCAGCAATGACGTCTGGTCCAGCATGGTCTTTTGAGATATTTCCTGGTAGTTTTGAATCCTAAAATATTAAACAATATTTTCGTAATTGATAATTTGGGTTATAGAAGCTACCGATTAAGACCAGTAATAACAAATTTGGAAAAAATTCACTCACGACAAGCTCCGCTGGATTATCAGACGTTTTCTTCAATAAATTTTCAACAGATCGAAAATAGGTTGCAAGAGAATCTTTCTCACTAGACAGAATGAAAAGAAGGTTGGAAAATAAAATTAAAGACATGCTGAACAAAGTTACAGACAATTAGGATCTCAATGGGTTTGAACGAGTGGATTATTTCAATCCAGTGGTTTGCAACCTTTTTTCGTAAATTCCTCTCTTCACCTATTTTGGACCCCTTTATTCCTCCCTCGCTATGCATGAACAGTACTATAGCTTACACAGTAGGAAACCGTTACTTTGTGTATTCAATCTTCAACGGATCCCAAGCTATAGTGTTATGTACAAGGCAAACTCGGGCTTTTGTACAGTTCAAGTAGAGTTCATAATGTGGGCATAAATAAGTATCATAGTAATAAAACTAAAAAATAATAGTAATACTACAGAACATACAAAGCAAAATTTCTACCCAAGAACTGCAAAATTCTCTTTAAAAAAACTCTTTAGGGAGGAATTCATTTCTGGTTGGAAAATTTTGTTCCAACTTCCAATCGTTTGAAATGCACAATTTTGGGTACTTTTGAAGTATGTGAACCAAGATGGCGGACATCGGAACGTAGTATGTGTACCAGGTTAGGATTAGGCCCTAATTTTATTCCAATTTTAGTTCTATTATGAGTTCGGGGACTAGCCAAGTGACTCCCGTGGTATTTGTACTACGTTCCGGAGTCTGCCATCTTGGTTCACATACTTTGCGAATACCCAATTTCGTGCACATTGTGTGAATTTCTGGGCATAGCCTTCCGATCGAACCCGAGACAACAACAATTACGATCTTTCTAGGTTTGAATGAGCGGATTGGATTACACTATGTTAAGTTTGAAATAAGCAATTTTGTATACCTTGGGTAACGTTTACAAGATAAGCGAATGCAATCATCAAAAAAGAATCAATAATATAAATATTACCGAGCAGCTTTCTTCAACGCTTCTTTGGCATCAGACATTTTATTACCAAGATTATCCCGTTCCTGTTCAAGCATCATGACTTGTTTTGTTAACAGTCTCTTACTTTGTGTACATCTTTTCAACTCCATTTTTACTTCATTTAGGCTCTATAAATAGAATAGAAATGGTTGGAGATACATACTTCTCAAAATTATTATAACAATCATCAATAAGGATGTCGAATCAGATGATTATATTCGTGTAAATGTGAGCAAAAATCTTCATGCAAGATATATAAGCCAACAAGATCAAGGCTATGAAACCATGAACTTCCTTCTGAAGTCACCGATATCGGAAATCTGAATTACAGACCTTTAATGGGGATAATAGGAATTCCTATAAAAGTTCCTAAGAATTTATTAAATAAGGCTTGTATATGCTAGTTTTTGTTATTAAAATTTGATTTTCTTCGAGTTCAAACTTGGTGTCAAAATTTTTGGAACTCTAGGTTAAGATTAAAATTTTTCGTAAGCCGTAGTCAAAAAAAATTTTTTTGATCAGAAGTCGAGAGACGATTGTAAATTTTCTCCAATTCCACAGCCTTGAATGAAGCGGCCAATTACAACATTTGCAAAAAATAATTGGCGTTGAAAATATTGTTGCACAACATACCGATACTGCATGAGACAATGTATTCTCTTTTTCAGTTCCTTCTGTCCATTGTTCATCAAGTTTAGCACTCAACTCCTAAAATGACAGATAAACGTAAATTTGTTTTATTTACGCATACTATAAGTTGAAAATTTGTTTCCTCATCTAATTGCAAGTATTTTGAAATGTGCTGAAACTTAATTTTAGAAATTCTTAGTCCACAAACTAAAAAAGGTTGAGAAGCACTTGTTTAGATGACTCGAGTCACTTTGAGTTTTTGATAAACTGCGACTCAATACCAACTTAAGGACTTCTTAATACTGGTAATTTTTACTTCAATTTGTGGTTGTATTTATAATGACCTGTAATTTTGTATTCTGTTCATGCAGAAGTTTTTGAGCTTGCTGTTCACGTTCAAGAGCAGCATTTAATTCAGAGCAAACACCGTCGAATCGCTTTCTTGAAACCAGATGATTTTCACGATCTCGTAACAATTTGATTTCATCAGTTGCAATTTCTAAATCAGCTGAAAACAAGAATATACAATTATCAGAATGGATGGATTCAGGTCAGATTACAATCCCCAACAAGAAATTCACACGGTGAACTTTTGAATGACAAAATGTTGTAAGACTAATCCACCATGTATTCCAAAGAATTTTTGTGCAATGAAAATGGGCCACAAAAAAAAAAGATTGAGAAGTCACATGCAGCAATGCAGGTAAGTCTTGTAAAGACAGAATGACAACATGAAGTAAGCCAGGCTATTTGCTCAAAGCAAGGTTATGAAGACTAAATCAGAAGTAAATGAGACTCATCTCTGAGCCAAGGGACTGGCAATCACAATGCCAAGAATTACTGAGACTATAAAAATTTATCTTCATGATTATGCACCAATAAATGTTGATTGATGCAAGACTAAATACAGTTCAAATGATTGAGATCAGAAAAAAAAGCTACGAAGTAGTGAATTCCCCATAACAAAAGTTGGAAAAGCGCATTATATGTATATGTATAAAACACAGAGACAGCACCCAGTATATTAAAATTCTTCAAATACATAGTAAAATGCGACAATACAAACATAAAAATACATATCTTCTCATACTTTTATTCTTTGTAAGATGCTGGATGTGTGATTTGAGTTTTGTTTCATTACTTCTTAGATTTCTTTTTTCAACCTCAGTTGCATGGAGTCTCTCAGTGAAATTGAGTAAATGACGTTGAAGTATAGCCAGTGAGTTCTTAAATACAAAACATGATTAGCATAGCGGAGTGTGATTCTAACAGAGATGTTCAAATTTTATGACATTTGAAGTGAAAATTTATTTAATTGATAATATTCGCTTCTATCTGTGAAATTAGTCATTTTACCTCATAAACAGTTATGTCATAGTAAATTTAGCAGACTTCATTTTTTTATTATAGAAAATATGAATTGTTTTATTAAAAATTTAATTACAAATATGAATTTTCAGATACTGCAGACACCATTAGACACAAGGACATCAAAAATTCTGAGTACGACTAATTTTTCTGTTCTACATACAGTCGATGTTTGGAGAATCTCACTTTTTAAACGCGAGATCTTTAAATGTGTATGTACCATTTTGTATTTTTACATTTTGTATTTTTACATTATATATAAGTGAGTTGAAGCCAGGGATGTCCAAAACGAATCGAATATTCGATTACATTCGAGATTGCTTATATTCGATTCAGTAAATTCTTGACTTTGCGAATAATTTAGAATACTTCATTCTTTCCCAAGAATTTAATATCTTATGATAAACAGAAAATCGAAAACAGACGAAATAAAATGGAGGATACTATTTAAAAACAATGTTCATCTCTCAAATATTCTGCATAAACAAATTTACAATTGTCTTGAAGAATTTCTTTTCTGGAACAGACCCATTCAAAAACATATTAGAAATTTCATCTCCGAAGGGATTGTTCAGAAGGTATTCGAAATACTAAATTATTCGGTTTTTGTCATCTGTGTTTGTGAAACCATTGGATAATTTTACATCAGACTCAGAGCCATAAGGACTCTAGTTCCAACTCCAACCATGTCAAACCCTGACATCACCTGCATGGTTGAACTGGAAATTTTCATAAACATTAATAGAATTCTGTTTTAATTCCGGGATTTATTTAAATCGATATACTGGTATTTGGATAACAATATAAGACATGTTAAATTACTCACCTCAGCAGAATATAATTTGATTGGTTCCTGCAATTTACATTTGATGACAATTCTTTCTAATCCTTCAGATATAACGCAGATGAGTGAAGTACGTTCCCTGCAGAAACATTTAAAACAACAGAATTCTATTACATAATCATTTGGATCAGTTTTCTATTTCTTAACGGAGGTGAAGCCACCAGAAATTTTAGTTGCTCCAGCTCCTAACCATCTAATTATTGATACACATTTATAATTTTCTAATAATTCATACAAATAATAAAACCTATAGTTTTCAGCTTATTCTTTTCAATATCATGTTCTAATATAATATAAGTTTTATGCTAAATTTGTACAATTAAAAGTTTAATTTTGATTTCAAAACTTTCAGTAGCGACAGTGCAATTGGGCTGATGTTTCATGGTAGTTATCATACCGACAAACACCATTGGCTATGGAGCCCTCTCGGAGATAAAGAACCGGAAACACCAATTGTGTGAACAGAATTTCAAAACGGTTACCCAATAATGTTTCTGACTACAAGTCATTATAAGTATAAACTACGCACTGAAAATATTTAAAAATTAAGTTACAGTGTATAAAGAACACAATATCGGTCATATGATTAAAAATGGCACCGTAACCAAGTAGTGTTCATTTCATACTAACAATTTCGTGACAAATAAAGCAGGGAAATTCACCCCCTTACAAATAAGACGGCAGTAAAAAGTTAACATCACATAAATAATCACCTGACAACATTATTTGTTGTATACACGAGCGAAGAAAACATTGGATGCGTGGAACGTAAAATATTCAAAAATGAATTCTTAGCTGTTTTCACAATTGCTCTCGACATGTAACCTTCGAAAAGATAAGCATTTAGAAATAAGATTAGTTAGAGCGAAAATAAAATGTATATTATCGTAATATTTTAACAACTTAATAAACATCTGCTTAAAAAGTAATATTGTTGAATACACCTAATGGAATGGTTCAATATTTCTGTTCGGATAATTTACCGGGTGCGATTGCCCAGTACAACGTTTCCAAACTCAGCTGGTCTGGGTGGGCAACGATGACACCAAAAATATCACATTCCTTCCAAGACATAGTAGGACCATGGGTACTCCAATAGTGTTGTGTACCAGGTTAGGGTTAGGCCATAATTTATTCCGAATTTACTCATTTTAGTTCTATTACGAGTTCGGGGACTGTCTGTGTTATCCAAGTGAATATACCCCCCTTCTCATAGGCTCAGTCCCTTTACACAAACTGATGTATAGTAGTCGAACAAAATTAGTTATCTCCATAATGGTACACACACTTCTGGAGCGCCGCCCCGTGAATATCAGTTAAGAGCTTTGTTCTAAGAGGAATCATGTAAAAAAACGTCATATAGAAAATTTGAAACATCAACAGATATTCAATTTCGGTAAACCTAATTTGAAATATTTCCCTTTAACAAATTTGTACCTTTTCTATTCCCAGTTTTTTTATCAAGCGCATCAACCAATCCACACATGGTATCTCTGACAACATGCACAGTTCGTTGATCACAAAGCCATTGCATTGCACTGTCAGACTGCGATTCTTCAGGTGCAACATCTGCAAATATAATCCTTAATGTAAACAAGAGAGCTATGCTCAAATATATGGACACAAGGACCAAAGCGAAGCAGTAGTATACTTGACTTTTACAGTACCGGTACCGCCAAAATAATTTGTATTAATTTCCGAGATGTTATCACACAAAATTTTGAAATGAAAAACTAATCACATAAGGCCCACAGACAGTTTTAGGTATTCCTGAAGTTTGCGCACCAAGATGTCGCATAACCTGAACCCTAACCTGGTACACAACCTGAGTTCAGGTTGTGCGTCATCTTGGTGCGCATACTTCAGGAGGTCCCAGTTTTATATTGAAGAAAGTAATAGCCCTCTAGCAAAATAATATAATCTTTAACCACTGAAAAATTCAAAGCAATTGATCCAGTAGTCAATATGAGAGGCGATTTTTCACAACAAGAAGAAGAAAACTAAAAAAAAAAAACAACAACATAATAACAAAGAGACCCATAGCTCCACCTTGTGTCCAATAACCAATAAATGCATAAAATTATTGATTTGATCATAAATGAATAAGCGAATCAAAAGACATCGAACCTGTTTTAGATGATTTGGAAGATTTACCAGCAACAACCAACACACGATTAGAACTTGCAGATGATTCATCGCACGTAAACATTGTAACATTAGATTGTTGAGCAAAAATACGAAGTCTGTTTGCAGCAAGCACAGTGACAGCGGCAACTCGAAACCTGGACAGCGAATAGGAAAGTTACACGAATTATCTGCCAAATGCTTTCACGCTGGTTAAAATAGAACGTGGAGTTTAAGTATATTTTCAATATTTTAGTGTGGATAGAAGAAATCAAATTCGTTTACAAAAACTCAAAATTCAGTTGTGTTAATTTGTTCGATTTTATCAGAGTTCGAAGCTTGAGTGTGGAATTTTTACAACCTGAGGTCCCACGTTAGGAAGCCCCAGTTCATCTAAACCAGCGATTCCCAAACTGTGGTACGCGTACCACCTGTGGTACGCGAGAGTATTTCAGGTGGTACGCGACCAACTTTCAATAATTTGCAATGTTGCGTTTCAATTACCTTTAATTTGTGGTTTCGCACGTTTATGAAGCAACACTTATTTCGTTCAAGATGATCAAACGCCAATTACCAACTTTCATGACCTTTGACCGATGCTGTCAGCAAAATATTTGGCGGGAACGCTCTCCTTACCGGCCGTCTCAGACTACGTACGGTTGCTATTCGTACTTGCTTTCAAAAGCCTGCGGTGTGTGAATATTGCGAAATTTTGTTTAATTCAACTATTGACAACATGTCTAAACGAAATTACAGTCCAGCTTACATAAAGTACGGATTCATAGCTATTGAACACAACGGAGAAGTTTTGCCGCAATGTGTAGGGTGCATGAAAACGCTTGCTAATTCGGCTATGAAACCAAGCTTACTCCAACGACATCTTGACACAAATCATCCCGACAAGAAGGATCGAAATGAGAGTTTCTTTCAGCGACTGGGCGAGCAAGTGAAACGACAGCGCTTCGACAACACTGGCACAATTTATCAGAGAAAGAAGTGTGCTGTCAAGGCATCCTATGAAGTCGCTCTCCTGATAGCAAAAAATCAGAAAGCACATACCATTGGAGAGCGCCTCATTATGCCAGCTGCAAAGATGTTAGTAAAAAATGTACTTGGTGAAGAGGCGGCTGCAAAGCTAGTAAGTGTTCCCCTCTCCAACAATACGGTTAAGAATAGAATAGAAGAGATGTCAGTCGATATTGCTGAGCAAGTGATTTCAGGAGTGAAAGATTCAGAGTATGGTTTTTCCATTCAATTGGACGAGTCGACGGACGTAACAAATAACGCACAGTTACTTGTGTATGTTCGTTATACACAAGAAAAGGCTGTAAAAACTGAATTACTTATGAGCAAAGAACTTTCAGGTACAACAAAGGGAAAGGATATTTTCGAAGCATTAGACAGTTTTTCAAAGTGAATAAACTGGACTGGGGAAAGTTGATTGGCTGTACAACAGATGGAGCTTCATCAATGCTAGGACATAAATCAGGCTTCAGAGCTCATGTGACGGCTGTGGCGCAAAACGTGACTTTTGTTCATTGTTTTATTCATAGATTCGCCCTATGCGCGAAAGTGCTACCTCAGAACATGTTATCATGCTTGAACCGAGTTATCAAACTAGTAAATTTCGTCAAAACATCTGCTCTGAATACTCGGTTGTTTAAACTTCTTTGTGAGGATCTCGGTTCTAACCACAGCTGTCTCCTCTTCTATACGGAGGTGCGCTGGCTCTCTCGTGGTAATGCAACAAGGCGCCTGTTTGAACTGCGACATGAGCTTCTGCAATTCTTCAAGGAGAAGAATCACGATTTTCAAAACGACCTGGAGAGCAAAGATTTTCTTACTAGATTGGCATATCTATCAGACATTTTTGAAGTTCTGAACAACTTTAACCTGTCGTTTCAAGGACCCAATCTAACTGTAACAGATTTCATTTCAAAGCTTAGAGCACTCATTCGTAAGCTGGACCTCTGGACATGGAATGTTAGCAATCAAAACTACGGAATGTTCAAATGCCTCCCTTCTGTTGAGAAAAATCCTGATGGTGGCATTTCTAAAGAAATTATTGATCATCTTTCGCAACTAAAGACGGAGCTATTGAATTACTTTCCTGATGTTGCATACTGTGCTTACTCCGTCAACCCATTTTTCGATGATCCGGTTGATGTGCCTGTAGGGACCGGGGAACAAGAAGAACTAATAGACATTCAAACTGATGAGGCAGCAAAAATAAAACATAAGGAATGTTGTCTAATCAATTTTTGGTTGAGCATGGCATCATCGTATTCTAACCTAGTACGTCACGCTGTTTCCCAGCTATTGATTTTTCCATCTACGTGGGAGTGCGAACAAGGGTTTTCGGCTTTGATGGCCATCAAATCGAAAAGCCGAAATCGTCTTGGAACGCCAGAACATGACTTTCGATGCGCTGTCAGCAAAGCTCTTCCTCGCATTGACCAGCTGGTGGAGAAAAAACAACTACATCCATCTCATTAAAATTTTTAATTGGCTTCATTTTGTTTAATTTATGGTTTTTATCTCTTTCTGGAATGATATTTGTCAAATCTTAATGCTGCTACATGCTCAGTTTTCTTATCTACAGGTGCATAGTTTATGGTTTGAGATATTCTAGTCAAGTGTAACTTAGGTGGTACGCGAACGCTGCACAAAATTAAAAATGGTACGCGGGAATGAAAAGTTTGGGAACCACTGATCTAAACTCACCACTTTCAACCATATGAAAGTAAATATAGTTTTTAAAGACCAGGACATTTCTGCCTGCTGCAATTTATATCATTCCAAGTGAGATGGCATACTGCTACAGATATTTTAAGCCTATTGTTGTATCATACTTTTATATTTTTTATTAAATAACAAAGCACGAAACAAAGAGCTAAAAATAATATGAAATTTAACACAACGACAACAACATACAAGCTTTGTAATGTTAAACAGTTTCTTCATTTGCCTGAGAAAGAATTTAGAAAATTTACAATGAACTATAAGTTGAAAAAAATACTCATAATTGAAAAAAGACTCCAGAAAGATCCTGTGGACGTTTTAATAATAAAATGCAAAATTTCTCTTTAATAGACGCTCAATTTTCTTTTTAAAATTCTATGTAGAATGTTGACCTAAGCTCTAGCAAACTGTAATTATAAATAAACATACCTGATCAATGGATGTATTTTTCTAAAACTAGAAGCTGCAGTAGGGGTTGGTTCTTCTTGATCTGGTTTTCTTAATTCTTCAGATAATGTTTCAACTAATATTCTGTAATTTAGGAATATTGGTCATATATATTATTTATATAAAAACATATCAGCAAATTGTTTTTTGTTAATTTTATTTATTCTGTCCTATAAACTGTCAGAAAATTAGTAATAGAACTAAGGAATTTGAAAAAATGATTTCAATTACGATACTCCATGCCTTCACATGACCTCTGCTTTATACATTCAGTCGCTTAATAAGAACTGATCGAATAGATTTGTAACGACTGTAATCTTTATGGTTATGCATAGCATTCTCAATTTTCCATAACTTGGGTTAGGCGGTATGAATCAATAAAAAGTTCAACATATGGATGTTTCCCCGGCCCTACATTTGCAATTAATTTTTGGAAACACAACTGAAAACTGACAAATAACATGCATAACCGCCACGATGAGGCAATGTTTACAAGTTACAACCATGCTTGAATATCATTGACTCATTGCTGATTGGTCTTTGTTATGGAACTAAACAATGAAACATCCATTGCTAGTGTGACAAGTTCGGGAAGGGAAGAAGTATGGCAAGTAATAAGTTAATTCCATCAGAATATCGGGAAAATATTGGTATATGTTAACTCTGTGGTAACTTATAAAAAGACCACACCTGATTATAAATTCATACATTACAAATCCCCTTAAAACAAAGATCTTAAAATCTACACTTCAAAGTCTACGCACCTCAGCTGATTCTTAAAAATAAGTGAATCATTATTAATTCTCATCAATAAATCACGCTGCCTCGCCAGATCATCTCGTGCTCTCAATGCAGGGTATAAAGATCCAAGTAATAATGAGCAAGCACATGTGAGTGCATTACGTTCCTAAAAGCAGAGAGAGACAAAATAGTGACATTGTCTTTACATGAAATCTTTACAGTTGAGGTGTAAAAGATGAAAAGCAGTATAGCAAGTCTCTTTATTTAATTAACCGATCTAATATGTGTGTTGGATTTTCTGTAGGAAAACGTTTCATTGATGTTTTAAACAATCATTGAATTGGAGGCAATTACATAAACTACAAATAAGAATGAAATTTGATGAAAAAATAGAATGCTTAACAGGATGTAACGGTTGTTTCTTTAAAAATTGAATATTTATTACATTAAAATATACTTACTTGCTGCAGATTTCCATTTTCACCTCTTAGTTGTGAACACTCCGCATGCAATGCATCACTGACTCCATCACCAGCTCTGATACGTTCCCATGCCTCGTCGCATAAACCTTGTGATTTCTGGAATGAAAAAACTAAAATAAGATACAGGTATATCATTAAAACATTAACAAAATAAAAGAAAATAGACATCTACAAATATTACTCAATTTCAATGTATTCAAAATATTTCAGAATTTCATATGGCTACATTTTTCATCAATAAATTCACTATTCATCAATAAATTATAAACAATCGAGAGATAAAATTTGCATGGGAAAAGATGACGAAGAACATACACTTGATGAACTACCGTGTTTCCACGAAAATAAGACAGGGTCTTATTTCAATTTTCTTTGACACTAGGGTTCATTTTTTGGGGATGTGTTTTATTTTCATTCATCGAAAACAAAATTACAAAGTAGAAAATTAAGAGATTTTCAAATATAAAAAATATGAAAACCGATATCCATTTACCTAAAAATAACAAGTTTTTATTTATAAAAACCGACTAGGTCTTATTTTAAGGAGAAGGCTTATGTTAAAATCATTCTTAAAATTCAGGATAGGTCTTATTTTCGGGGAAACACGGTAATAACAAAAACCAACACGGAAATCTATGTTAATAATCTTGTCCTTAGGGGAAGTAAGTACACTTACTTAAAAATAAGGAAAAAAATAGGACTCAAAATGCAGATTTTAAAAAATAAGGCAGATAATGCACACAATTTAACTGCATATTCAGACCTCAAAAACTTTTGGAAATTTTAAATATGGTTCCCATATGAAGAGTTATACTAACTTTGTGTATTTCTGTTGTTGTGATGAGTGTTATATGAACCAATAGACCTCTCTTTGAATTTCTGGTAAAACCCTATGGATATAGGACTTTCACCAACCAATCATATTAGACCCTCATTTCATAATTGAAATCTCACCTGAGCTCTTGATTGCATTTCTTCCAGCAATGCATTGTAATGATCTTCCAATTGTTTTCTTTGTTTTTGTGCTTCGTCTTCTCTCTCACGACATTGTTTAGCCAATCTATCAACAGATGCTTCATGTTCTCGTTGCATTTCTCCTAACGTTCGTTCCAGTTGATTTACAGAAGTCTCTTGCTGTACGTTCTGGTTTCATAAAAATATTTATATCAATAATCAAAGCAAGTTTCTCTTAAACGAAATTTTTTTTCTCGTTACATAAAACACTATAATAAAAATAAGCACACATGCGAAATATGTCTTCAATTTGTTTATTTTATGACACTTATTAATCATACATAATGAACGACTATAATTCTATTAAGCATTTCAGTGGCTGCCCATAACTTCACTCAAATTTCTGAATGAGTGTGTATGGAACCCTGGACAGAAATAAGCACAGATCCGATATATGTCTTTATTTTGGGTATTTTATGACATTATTGATCATACGAAATGAATTACTACAATTCTAGTTTCAGTAGCACTTGGTATTTCAGTGGTTGCCTGTAACTTCGCTCAAAGATCAGTCTCCTTTACTTCTGAATAAGTATGCGTAATCGTGCTTTGAGCAATTAAATAAAATAACAAAAAATTTGCTACACTTTTATTAGCTATCCTTTCTCGCAGATGGATTGGTAGTAATGAAGACACCTTTCAATAAATAATACATCTTTTTCATATACTGCAAACCCTGAGGAATTTGCTTCATTTTCTATGACGGTGTAGACTAGAAGTGCGTTTGGTCTTGCATCAACTTTTATTTACAGGTGCCTATGCTGTTATCTAAGCGTATCAATTGATACATGGAATTTTTTATCAATGGTGCGGACAATCATAGATATTTGTACTTGGCCTTACTTTGAGCAATCATACAAAAAAACTTCAAAAATGCAATTTTCATACCTTTTCTTTGTATCTGCTAAGACTACTCAACACAGAGTCAATTCCTTCTCTTACTCCCACAGAAAACTCAGCCCACGTGAATCTGAAAAGAAGTATAAGCTGTCATTGATGCTTCTTGCACGTTACTTAGATATAAAACACCAAATAGGAATAAAATTAAGGTGTATAAACGCATTTCAAGTTTAAAGTAATCTAAATGTCTTCAAGCCAAGAATAAACTGCCTAGTTATAGCCCTAGAAAATGCATTTGAACTTGTACTTAGATAGCTCATGTGTGAAATCATGCAAAAAAGTCAGAGGAAACCTACCAAGGTCTCATATATTATAAAACGATCACAGGGTCAAATCCCCATGCAATTTCTGAACCTGGAAGATTCCGGTCCCTCTAAAAATTCTGGTTAAATACACATTGTTAGATATTCGACTCGAATAAGAAATTATTGGAATAACATAACACACAGAAGAGTGGAAAAACAATGATATAACTACCATGAACTAAGTAATATTATTAAAAATGAGATGAACATAGGATTACTTTGTCAATGATGTGATTCCTCTTGCATGTGGTCCAAGTGCGTGATGAAGTTCACGTAAATAAGACATATGTGCTTCCATTTCTGTTTTATGACGATCCATAAGACCACTTGCCTTCAAAAATGATGATAAACAACACTATTAACAGTACAGACAACAGAAAGCATACTCATATCAGAAGATTCATCGTCTTGCAACTAGTTTGGCTCTTGAATAATCATATTGATTCTCTTTTGCAGCAAAATCATGATTAATGCCAAATTTTCGTGTAAAATCACGATTCTACTAAATATTCACAAATTATAAAGGTATTTCGAATTTCAGAACGAAGGTGTCTGGCATGTAAAAATTAGGACTTAAAAAATTTTGTTGTATAAAGTATTAATTCCAAAATTTCAACCTAATTACAAATAAAATTCCATTAATAAATTCTATATAAGTATGAAAAGCAATTTTTAATTAGGTAAACATAGGTGTTTTCAATAGCATATTTCGATGAAAGAAATTACTAATCAGAGAAAAATCGTCATAAGCCAGGAAACAAGAGAGCAATGCTAAACACAAAGACCAAATTGAACCAGTATCAAATTTTCACAGTACCGGTACTCTGACCAGCTGAAATGTAATCACGAAACCACGACACAGTGCGCAATTTTAATTTTCGATGGCATCATCACACTCTCACACAGTACTTCGAAGTCAAAACAAATCCTATTGGATCCTAGCAGGTGGCGACAACAACAAGCTTTAACTACTGAAAGTGTGAAAGCAACTATTCCTATGGTTAAAGAAAAAGCTATTGTTTCACAACAACACAGTAAAAAACGATCCATACATCCACTTCGAGTCTAATAATATGATAAATATTAGAAATCTTACAAGAATTTAACCCTCTACTAACAACAAAGTAAAAAAAATGTCCACAAATATTCGCCATTTGGCATACATGGCAAATGACCTGACAATGTCTTTTTCATGTCACCATGCTGAATAGGATGCTGGAATATGCTTCTGAAGAGCCATGAGTGAAGTTTTATTGAAGGGTTAATTGCAAGCAGTAAGAACTTACATTTTCTTCTAATTGTTTGCATCTGTGTGTTTGTTGTTCTAATTCTCCAGTAACTTCAGCAAGATCTCTCCTCATTCTATCACATTCTCTGTCATAATCAGATTGTTTTGTCCGTATACTGTCGAGTTCTGCTCTACAACTCATTATTTCATGCTAAAACAAATTATTATCAAGTTTTTATCAAGCTTGCGATTCAATGCTAAAGTCTATATTTCGAATGGCAGAAAAATTAACTTATGTGTTTTCATCTATTCTCTAGATCAGCGTTTCTCAAACTATTTTGTCCCAGAACACCTTCTGATTTTTATATCACCTCCCGGAATACCAAAACATTTGGAGGTGAAATTGATAATAAAAAAATCGTGTGATGGATTTACTATTTGCATCAACTTGCACAACAGGCTTATCACAGCATCTTTTGAATTTTAAGTTAACAATTCATTGAGTAGGGAGCTTTCCAAAAAATTTGGTAAAATTAAAAAGTTTGCTGTAAACTTGACAATTGAAAAATCAGGCCGACAGTCGACGATATTAAACAGTTAATGAAAACCCTATGCTGGCAAGGCTCGTCTGTTGCCAGCTGGGAGACAAATTTAAGACGCAGAGTCGCCGAAGTAAGGCAGAGATCGGATCGCTATGGCAACCAATTCAGACGCAATTTCTATTCCTGTCCTAAGAAACTCTGAAGAAGCTCGCGGAACACAGCTTGAGAAACGCAGATGAAAGAGATATTGTTAGCTAAAGAAATATCTAAATGAAACAAGCATTCAATCGATTAAATCTGCGGCAAAAGCCAGATTTTCATCTTCACAAACATAGAAGCTATTGAGTAAAAGTAGCTGCTTGAGAAGAGCCTTTTTATGAATGGAGGTATAAAACAACATTTAATACTATACTATGAATGCAAAGCAACACCTGTGATTGTTGCAAATCTTTTTCCCTTGTTAGTGCACGATCTCTGAAGATATTACAATCCTTTTGCATTTGTTCTTCTGATGATTTACTGGAAAGTAGATCTCTCTGTATTTATTAAGAATAGATATTAATTTTTCATGGTCTCATATTTAAACAGAAATCCAAAAAAATATTACCAATATTGATGAAAAATTTTTGTAATAGTGAAGTATACGACAAAATTTTTCTGGGGTTAGAGGTCGGGGAAACATTCAAAAACATTTGGTTTGTGGTAAAACATGCTAGCTTATATGGTTTTAGTAGATTGTTACACACTTATCGCTAAGTAGAAGGCTGAACATCACATGAAACTCACATGTAAATCATCAATATCTTTTTTCAATGCAAGTAAGCATTTTCTCAACTTTTCCAACACTATTTTAGGGTCAGGTGTCACAGACTTGTTTTTATCATTCTTCTTTGGTATAGCTTAAAAAAAATGAGATAATATTATAACATTTAAATTATACTATATATGAATATTTTAAATACAAATGAAATACTTAATTTAAAATTTCTTTCATACTTCATCCCCATCACCCAGGGTAAGCAATGCAGAACCGAAAAAATTACAAACCCGTTCAAAAATAGCAGCTACTCATATATCAGTATTTTGCTGACAGGGGCGCAGCTAAGAATTTTTCAGCGGAGGGGAGTTTACTTTACACTAAAACAGTACGCTGAAGGCGCAATGCGTCACACCGTAAGGCGTTTCATCATCAAAAATTTGTGTGTCGATAACAGCAAAACGCCATTGAATATGTTGCGACCAGTGGTGGGATTCAAATTTTTTGTCAGCCGGTTCGATCATACAAACGTCGAATTTCCAGGCGCTTCTGTTACAAAAAGTCATGTAATGCTAACCGGTTCGCTGATTTCATAAAATTCCGTGAGACGGTTCTACAGAACCGGTGCGAACCGGCTGAATCCCACTACTGGTTACGACCCCCGTAACCAACCTTGGATGCTTGTTTTATTCCTTGTTCAGAGTGAAAGTCATGGAAAAACGTTAGATAAAAGTGGTGACGAACATGTTCCAAATTCATGAATTGAAACGTTTTTAACACAATGAAAAGAAAAGGCCTTTCTAAACTTGAGTGATACTTAATAAAGATTGATTGGTTCCACGCTAGAAATGTAAAGTCCGAAAAAGAAACGTACTTGGTTTTGTTAATGATTCATTACAATAAGTAGCCAATAACATTTCAACTTCTCTCATATTTCCACTGTACGTTTCTTCTAGGTAAATCTATAACAAAAGACATGAGTACCCAATTGAACAATTGTGCAAATATATATAATATTTATGGAAACGTATGTAAATAAAAAGACTCACAAGAAATGTTACATGATATCATACATACCGGTACTTCAGGCAAGCTCAAACTAGTTTAAACATGAATAATAAAGTAGTTACTTGAGTACTATTGGCAATTTTAATATGCAACTGTGTCAACTGTAATGTTCATAAAATATTTTTCTAAAATTTAGAGTTTAAGATTAGACTTACAATGAGAATACATTTTGGGGAATTTTTGTGCCATGGTGAAAAATCAATTTTCTATGCTATCAAAATTTCGGTTGTATGAAATGAGTCAATAGTTTTAAATATTCCAAGAACTCATTTAGCATTTGTCGGTTAGTGCATTCGGGCCTGGGTATGTTGTCATAACAGGTAGAAAGAAGTTCTACCATGTATGTCACATAGGATGTACCGTAATAAATTGGGAGAGGCAATTAAAAACATGACTAGGGCTGGGCAAAATATTCGAATAACGAATAGCGAATCGAATATTAAATTATTCGAATGGCATTTTACTATTCGAATATCGGGCACCACGCGATCTGTGTCGCTTCACTTGGACACAGAACGTCTCTGAACCGATCGTGAATTGCGCGAGAATTCACCTACAACGCTCGCTAACAGACAAAGGCGACAAATTTGAAAAATCGTCCTTGCGTTGTGGTGTTATTTGTTTTCTTTGCGTTTCGATCGTTCATTTCAATTCCATATGTTGCACAAAGAGGTACACCGACACTGTTCCCTAAATTTAGAAACGTTAAATCAGATGAGGTATTTAAAATAAATATTCCAGATTTTAAACTCCGTATGATTGGCGGCACATGATTAGCCGTTTCATGCATGAACCAAACATAAATTTGTTTAACAAAAATTAAAAGTTGAATTAACTTTTGCGTGAAACCATATATAGTATAACAAGAACAAGCTATGACCAGAAACGAAATGGCAGGACATAGTTCTTTTAATGTACTTTCAAATAATTCTTTAGTGATCCCTTTCATTCTTGACTAAATAATGTTTCGAAAGTGTAAACATTTCACTCGGGCATGCATGGCGGGTGGAGTGTAGAAATCGTGAACAGGAGTATGGCGTAAAATCAATCGTGAATTTCGATGTAACGACGCGCACTGTCTCGTTTACGAATTGTTTCATCGTCTGAAATGATTACATTCGTTATATTTTGAGCATTTTTGCACTAATAAATAGGGCGTGAGTGCCGCGTGACATTATCAAAATTGTCAAGAGAAGTAAAAGTGAATTCGCAAATTCTGTAAATAAAATTGTGAATTACTCGGTAACGATGTTAGCTATAATGATCGCGTGGTTTGTTGAAAGAAAACGTCGGAACTTGGAAGAGTTAGTTATAGGCTAACTAGCGCCTGGCCATCTATTAGGCACAAAAGTAAAAAAGCGCAATTTTTTTCAGCATTAGGTCGCATATGTAAATTATTATTCAAGAAGCTTTGAGAGGTTTATCTGTAAAGTAACATAGACACCATAGAAAAGCATAGCAAAGTTATCACGGTATTGTCTTAATAAATATCCACATCCCGGTATCGATAATAATATTACCGTTCGCTTAATATTGTTACGGTAAATTTACAAGCGTTGATAAGTAATATGAAAGCCAACGCAAATGATAAAAATGAGAATAATATTAATTTGGGTTTCGAGTTCAATCTTTAATGATTTTAACAGCTGTTGCCGACGTGAACGCACAGGTAAACCCGAAATATAAACGTTGATGTCCGCCGACCCGAAAGAATTAATACTTGCAAATAACAGAAAGGGCGGTATTATAGACCAGGGCTACTCAACTGGCGGACCGCGGTCCGAATCCGGACCTTTCGGGTATGCGATTCGGACCGCAACTAATTCTTTATTTTGGATCATTAACCCCACTTTTGAAGTTTTCTTTTATAAAATCTTTTTTATAGGTTTAAATATATATGAAAAGAACTCTAATGCCACAATAAACAATATTATATAGCTAATAATCATTAGTCTGTCGAGAAAGTGCGTGTTCAAGGATGCCGAAATATAATTTCTGGAAAGTCCGGACCCAAATATTTTTGAAGTTTTGTATGCGGATCTTCAGTAAAAATAGTTGAGTAGCCCTGTTATAGATTATATATCGCCGCAAAAACGGTCACGGTGACAAAAACAATCAGCGATTATGACGAAATTAACCAGTAAAAAAACGCTTTGTAGCCGATTTTTCAATGTCTTTATTAATTTTCAAAGGGAGTATCGACCGCCGTTGTAGACCTCCTGTTGTGTATAAAAAAATATTCGTTATTCGACTATCCGGTATTCGGTAATAATATTCGAACTATTCGATTCGAAAAAAATATTCGATTTTGCCCACCCCTAAACATGACAAATTCTGGTTACTTCAATAATATAGCTCTGGCCGTTCGGCGCACCGTGCTAAGCGTTAGGAATACTCTCGCCATCACACCACTGATTACGCTTTGGGGGTTCGTTTGAATCCTGTAGGGGATATTTATGTGCAGGAGATTTGCTGGACTCGTAACTGTTAGCAGGTTTAGGCTTCCTCCACCATCAAGTCCATGCATCTGAAAACAAATAACTGACTAACGAATCTCATACCCGACATGGACTGGTAATCTGGCGAGAGGTCACAGTATGCAATGTGATTAGACTATCTTGTCGGCTTTCCTCTCCACCGGGATAAAATAAAAAAAGAGACCGTACATATCAATGCTGGTTAGTTGCCTGTCATAGATAAGAAAACACAAAATTGAAAACTTTAAAGTTAAAATTTTAAAACCTGTCGTTTCCTTGTTTTATTCAATTCTTCTTTCAGCGATTCAAAGTTTTCTTGTTGTTTTGTTAATTGAGCAGAAAGTTCAGTTAATTTCTTAGTTTTCTCAGACAGTTCATTTTCAAGTTGTTTTCTTACATCACTATAGACCTGCATTGTTCTAACATCAAAAGAAACAGAATATGGAGTTAAGAAAATAAAAATTTCGAAACCAAATTGTTTAGGATTTGAATACCATAAGAACACATCCCTTTCATTTAAATGGAAAAGTTTTTATTTCTGCCACTACGCAATTGACTGAAAAATGACACAAAGTCATAAGGGTATGATGCAATCTGTCACAATAGACTACCGGTATTGCAGCCTTCATGACTTCACAATTTTTAATTTTGATAACGTCTATCGAAGGGAAAGACTCCAAAATTAAATAAAAATTTTAGAAATTTCATACTTTTCCAATTTCTGGTCAGCTTCATTCGCGCTTTCTTTTGTTGTTTGTACTTCTGATTCCAGTTCGTTAGATTTTTTTGTAGCGATTTCAAACTCCTGCTTCAGTTTACTGTTCAGTTCTTTTTCATTTGAAAGTGCAGTCTCAGTTTCTTGATGTTTCAACTGAAAAATAATATTTTAGTAAAATAGCTATACAATTTGAAACGTGCACCTCTCAGAACTTAAATGACAGCTAGGGATGTCCAATTTAGTTTGGAGGAAATTCAAAATTACTTCTATTCAAAAAATTACTGTGAGACTTTCTGAGAGTCAAAACTACAATTTATTTTGGTGAATTTGAATAGTTTAAAGTTGAGATATTGCTTTGTAGCAAGATTTCCATCCAAAATAGATCCAATACCAAAAATCTTCTAAAAAGTGCACAGCATTGAAATAGGAGTTTTTAAAAGAGATTTCAGTGTTACCTCAAACAAGACCAGAAATAGCTTCACGATCAATCAAAATTAGTCGGAGATATTGCATTGCACTTCTCTCCGAAAGAACATTTTCTCTCTATGTTAGAATTAGGACACAACACAAAAATCAAATACCTGTATTATTTCAGCATTAAATTTTGATTCAAGATGAGCTGCTCTCTCTGCTTCAACACTTTCTTCTAATGCATGACATCGAAGGTTGAGATTGTGAAGTTCAGAATGAGCGTGTTGTTCCCTGAAATAACATGGGAACATGCTAAATGGGAACTCATACTATTTGAGAACTCTCAACCAGCTAAGAGTAAGTGGGATCACTTTGGTTGAACTTTTCTAACGCAAAAAATGGTTGATGAAGGAAGCTTTAAAAAGAATAACAGTTTGAGTGTCTACAAATCTGTTCGATAAAACAACAACCCATGAGAATTAAACTCGTATCTAGCGATCAGGGTAGTAAACAATGTGATGGTGTGCCTTTTTCAACAATTCCACACAATGTGACAATATGGCAGTATTGGAAATCTAAGGAATCAAGTAGAAAAAATACATTGTTCATATCGTTGTGAACCTGTGTGCAACCAACTGATATAATAAAATATCAGTTTAGCCATATTGAATAATATTCTATAACGAAGATCTGTTTAATAATTAGAGATTTAAATATTTGAATTCGAAATATTTTCTTATTCGGGATGTTTTTCTACTCGAATATAATACATTTTACTTCATTGCATAATATGCCAAGTTCAAATAAAAATAAATAGCAAAATATTCTTTAAATATATACATACGGTATCAAATACAACCAGAAACAATACAATTATGGTAAATACAAGCAACTGAAGTTAGAGTACTAATATCAGGTGAAGAGATGAATAAACTCCAGGTAAAACATTTTGTCAACATTAACCCTTATAATACCAAATAATAACCAATTAAAACAACTTCACAAACGTTCAACAAAAGATGTTGATGTAGTATGGTTGAAATTTTACAATGTTGGAATTAACTATAAAAACATTATCAATCAAGTTATTTTGTTTGCAGTAGTACTATGAGAAAAATCTATCATTGCGTGAAGCTTGAACCACGCGAATGATTTTTAAAAATCTGAATAGCTCAAAATGTTTTATAATAAATTTTTGGGAATTAAAAGAACATCGGAATTAGATTTAAAATACTGAAACAACAAAAAAATGTTATGAATCAAGAATCAATGGTATAATGTATATTTTGGGAATAGGGAAAAATGATCTAATCAGTCATCAAGATGACTGACCATCACAATTAAAATCACAAAACCGGACATTATATGAATAAAGAATTTAATTGTTTTGTTGAGATAGCAGGTACATCTTTCCCAACAATTATATGCCAGTGATTTTACTATAAACTTGAAGCCCTATTAAAAACGAATACAAAATAGAAAATGGTGTTTCAAAAATGTTGTGTCCCAATCGTAACACACTTGTCCCACTTCCCCTTATTGTACCACTGTCCTGGGTTAAGAGAGAGACACAACTCAAGCTTTGGGTCAGGATGGATATATTACTTGTAACTTAGAGTAAGATATGAAATAGGATTTATATAATTGGGATATAAGTGGTACAATGGGGACAACAGACAAGTGTGCCTATTTTTGAGACACTTGCGAAAAGATACCTTTCACTTAAAACCTGGACATCAGTGATTTTCTTTCTTAATTCATCTTCTTGTCTGATCAAACTCTTTTCCAAATCTTTAACTTTCTTTTTTAGCTCTTCAATCTGTGCATTGTTGATCTGTTTGTCTCCGACTAATTTATCATGATGACTTCTCAAAACTGCTTCGGATGCAAGTTTGTCAGACTCAACTTGTTTCTGAGAATTAATTATTTTCAAAAATAATTTGATAAGATAACATCCAGCAGAAAGATTCCAAATGCTTGGATAATTAATTCATAGAATTTTTAATTATGAATATCCCTAATTGCAAAATCTGAAATGATCTATTTGATAATTCAAGAGTCATTCTTACCAGGTTCACGTATATAAAAATTGAAATAGATAACAAGGAGATGCACAACTAGTTACAATCTCAGTCGAACATTTTATTTCTTAGATATATTGTGTTGTGGTAGTTGAATGAGTAAATTTAACTTTAATGAGTAAATTCCATGCGATAAAGCATAGGTGTGCAACCTTTAATGCAGGAGGTTCGGAGACAATTAACTGAGTGAAACCGTGGGCCACACCTTTATATAATGTAGGCTTTCTAGTAGTTGCAGGCACAAGAATTTTGGTTCCTGATCTTAAAAAATGCATTGTTCGCTTCGCACAAACTCTCTGTTATGGCATTTGTAATGTCATAGGCATAGAGAATAAATTGGACTGAGGTGTTGGCTTTGAAACGCAAAGGAATTGGAATTACTCTCATGTACGAAATTAAATTAAATTAAAAACTTGTTTCGCGGGCAACACACTATTCAAAATTGGCACTTCATTTTTCCCTCATGGGCTGCATTTGGCCCGTGGGCCGCCCTGCAGTATAAAGCAAAAAAAGAATAGATTTTGGCTAACCTTCTCATCCATTAAAAATGCAATTCTTTTCTCATCTTCCATTGTTACTCTTCGTGCAATTTGTAAAGCTTTCTCTAAATCTTCTATTTTCACTTCAAGAGCTGACTTTTCAGCTGAAAATGATTCACTTTATAAGGAAAGTTACGGTACTTATTTCTAACTTTGATATATCCTCAAGTTCAGAGATTTTTTCTATTTCACCAATTGGGCAAATATAATCTAAGCATATTTGATATTGAATATTTGATTTGAAATTGATATTTAAATAAATTCATTAATAGTAAATTGGGAAGTGAACCTACTAAAATAGCATACTTAATTTAAATTTTTTTAAATGTTATTAAATATTCAAGAATCATTCAAATTGAACGATTTTTAATCCTATATATAGTTTGGGAGCATGGTTGATTTCTTCCTAGTTCCATTATCTTTCCTTCAAATTATTGATTAATAATTAACTTCAACCCAAAACCCAAAGCTTAGGGGATGAATGTTTATTGATAAAAATAACAGAAACAAGTGGCAAATTGATTTATCTCGATTTTTTTTAATTGTAAAATTCCAACATCTAGTTGCTATAGTTGAAATATACTCGTAGTAAGAAAACGAAACTGCTTGTGCTAATTTATAAACATACGGTATATCCAAATTCTCTTTTTCACACAAAATAATTGATAGAAATTCAATGACTTTTTTAGGTTAGATAAATGCTAAATCAGATAAGAGCAATAAATTAGAATAAGTAGCCTACTTCACGTTATTGTTATTGGCTCACATTTAAACTAAAAATATATTACATTTGTATTACTCAAAAATTTACTTAGAAAAAATTTTCCAACAAACAACTATTAATGAATATTCGTGCTGAAAGATTTGAATTTCAGAATTAATGCCCAAAATATATGTCATAGCCAATTCAAATTACCTGCCAGTGATTTATTGTCATGTGTAAGTGATGATTCTCTTTGTGTTGTGGCTCTCAAAACATCATTAGACTTCTTTTTCACAACCGCCAAATCAAATTCAAGTGCTTGTCGAGTAGCTTCGCCTTTTTCCAGCTGAGACTGAAGCCTTGCAATCTGAGATATGTTGTCTGCATTTTCCTGGGATTTATCAAGCAATGAATTACATGATAGAATATTATGATACATTTTTACCCATAAAATTGATTTTAGAGTAAGTATAATCTTAGAATCTTCAAAAAGTATTATTTTTCTATTTTTCTTATTGAGAAACTAGCCACTTCAATTGAAACACAATATACCATATTGTCCAGCTAATAAGCTGATTTTGTGAACCCAATTTTTGTGCTGATTTTCTGTGGTTGACTTATTGCACAGCTCAGATCCTTTTCTCTTTTCAGAAGTCAGTTTATTGAAATATGTTCAAGAGAGTGCACATAGGTGCTGAACTGGCGAATGACCAAAAAAAGTAAACACAATTTTTCTGCTTATGTCTATTGGACGGCAATATGCAAAAACCACTCCTTTCCAGTGGTAAAATTGACCTCAGATCAATAATCGCTGGGTTGACTTGTTAGCCAAAAAAAAACGAGAAGTAAAAAATATTAGTCGTAACCTTTCAAACACCCTATAACAATTTGTGAACTTGTTGCAAAATAAATATTACAGGATAGGCAATATTTTCAAATTACCAGCAATACAAAGTTACATTCCACAATACAGGTGAATGACTTCACTCCCAATACAAAAATGTACCTGACTGGTGTTTAACTTGAGTTTAGTTCAAACCTTGAATTTAACCCTTTCCGTGCGGTGGGCACGTATACGTACCAACAACAAAAGTCGCTAGATTGCGGCGGGTACGTTGATGTACTCCACGGTTTTATTTAGCAATCGGTCGCAAACTGTTGGTCTAGTTTTTCCGGGTTTTAGTTTATTGATAAGAAGTCTTCTTCGAGATTAACATAAGCGACGGTAAATCTCGCTTTCGTTTACGACAAGAATTTTATTTGCGACGGAACGAGGGAGTGTTTTTGAAATTCATGCAAATTTTGGTGTTTTTTGGGTGGTAATAAAAGACATATTATCCCTTCCATCTACCAAAGTATTTTGAGATAGATCACGAAATTGCTACAGCAATATTATGCTATTGTTTGCCAACCACGAAGCGGTAACAGTAAAGGATTTGGCGAATATTTCTATTTTTTATCACGGTTTGAAGTTTCAACTCCCAAGAAACAAAAATGCCTTTTTTCTATCCGGTTTGTGACTCAGACCACCACTTTTGAAAAAACTTTTTTTTTTAATCGCTAATTGCAAGCTCTTTAAATAAGCTTTCCAACGAGCCGTCAGTGGGCAGCAGAGGATCATTAGTTTTTCGTTAGTTGATCGATTAGTTGTGGGGGTACAAATGCATAAAATCGGCGTAGCAAATACGATTATTCAATAAAAATAAATATCGCATGGAAAGGGTTAAGAGAATATTTGAAATGTGCATTTATTTACCTTGTTGAAGGCTGTTGTCATAGCAACCCTATCATCTTCAAAATTCAGCGCTCTATCACGAAATCTGGTCAGTTCCTTAGATAGTTGATCATTTTCATCTTTCAATGATTTTATCTGGAACAAATTTTTGGACAATGTTTACCGATGACCTTTCAAATTACATACCATAAATAAATAATTGCTTTTATCCATGAAGTTTTTGATCGCTCAGTTGCAAATAAAGCAGAATATTTCATTTGACTATATTAGGCTTAATTTCCTTTGGTTCATTTTGTATAATGTAACAAGGCTATATTCAGTCCTGTTAAACTGGAAATGGTTCCATTTTTTGGGTTACCTTGTATAAATTTTCATATCACAAATCAAATTGTTTTAGACCAAATTTTATTGTTTTCATTTCACATCATGGATTCTAATATATCAAAGTCATTTTAGTAATTGGTCCTCTTATTTAAAATGAATTTTAATCTTTTTTAAAGAAAAGTCATTTCAGGCATCGAAGAATGTAAAAAACAAAAATACTATGTTTAAAAGATTATTGATAACTATTCTTATACAGCTTAAAGTGGTAACTGGTAATTTTGAAAAGTTTCTGATTTCCACAATATCAGCAGATCCATTCCAAAATACCTGAAGTTTTAGCCGTTTACAGGATTCTTCATTCGTCGTATAGTTGTTAATATGTCGTTTTTCATTTGGAATAGACACTGAGCTGGAATTCGACAGTACTGATGCTCGTCTCAAATCATCCATTTTAAAATATCAAGTGTTGCAATTTATTCATCCGATAGCAATAATTTTCAACTACATATATATTTGAATGAACTTTTAAAGATCAACCAGAAATAAAAAAAAATGATATATAAGGCAAATACCAGGAATTATGATAGAAGGGTGAACATTAGGGAACATTTCTCCAAATCCAAGATGCCCGACATTTGGTTCAATGGAACAAACACTCTATTTGTCTCTGAAACGAGCGAGTCTGGAAATACAGCAGATGCGTCAGATTGCGCCATGCTTGTCTTATTAATAATCTGAATTGACCGTGTTCGTCACATAATCAAAATCGATGATTTGTTTGGATATTTTGTTTGAATTAGTACCGTAAGTCTTCTTATTTGGAAAACTTTGTATGATCCTACCAATCTGCCAATGCTGCAAAGACTTAGTGCAGTAGTGGCCACATGGCTATCAAAGAATGAATCTCGATCAGTAAAGTTTGGCTTTATTCACTAATTCAATATGACTAAGTTTTTAGCAATCGTATTTGTGTATTGCAATAATCTGGGAATCATATGACAGTATGACCCTGTAAAATACAAACGTATTCTAAATTATTTCTGTATTTAGATATCTGTATTTTCTTGGTCTACGTGAGTGATTACTGACTTTTGCAAACTATTCTGTAATACAACTTGGTCATGAATTTTTGCAACTATTTTTGTTATTGACCATGGCGCTACTTGGCTACCGGTACGGTATATGCGTATTATCAGCGGTACCGTACCTGACTTGATATGATCTGTATGATGCGACAATCCACCTTCGGCCTTCCCAGAACAATTCCATAGTACTCAACAGTAAACCCTCAATCCCTCAAACCCTCAGTCTGCAAACGATACCATAACTATTTAGATTTGAAAATGAACCAGCGAAACGCTACGATCACGCGATAAACTTGGAAATATCTATCGTTTTCCCATGACTGGATGAACTGATAACACAAAATTTGTAAAAAACCGCTCAGTTTGTGTTTGTCATGCATGGTTGGTTAGCCACCAAGTTGGTACCGATCGTACCGATACGTTAGGAAATAGGGTTAGTTCGGATACCTATAATTTTCACTATCCGGATAACGGATATATCCGGGTATTCCGTATTTTAAATATACGGTTAACCGGATAGTTACTGCTGATTTTAGAGAACCGATTTCGCAGGATTTTCGCGGTGAATTGAACGAATAACACCACACAGTTCTGTTGTAAATACTCACATATGTATTATTTTTCTTGAATATGAATTATTGTGCATTTTAATATTGCATGTGTCAATAAATAATAATTTAAGCTCAGTAGTCGTACCGATGTACAGCGGAATAATAAAATGAAACATTTTTTGAAAATATTGTGTCCTAATTTTTTTTCCCCCAACTGCTAAGTTATTTTCCCTATTCAAATAATATGTAAAGATTTATATTATTTCTACTTTATTGTAAAGTTTTTTAAAAGTTTCTTTTTGTGTCTAGAGCCTCTTTTCTTTAAATTTTGACTCGTACTAAATATTAGTGTCGCAGACTCACAATGATCATTTCTGATCATCCGCACCTTCCTATCAATTGCAATGAGATTTAATATTGTCATGTATAGTATTTTGTTTTCTATAATATTTGGTGATTTCTTGCACGACGAAATAAACTTTGTTAATATATACCACAAGAGCATACATATAAATGAAATCATGAACACAAAAAATCGTGCATTTCGAACATTTTATTTCGGTGAGAGAAGTATCCAAAAAATTGAATATAGGGGGAACAAATTCCGTGAAGTGTATAGGAAAATATAAGTCATTTGAACAAAAATTTTAATAACAAAGCAAATTGATGATTATGAAAAAACCGAAGTGGTCAGAAATTTCTTCTAATTTGAAAACTTCACTTATTTAACATGTCACTGTAAATATTCTCACGTTTGTACTAATTAGGCCACAACTTTAAATCTATTTCCATTCGAATACCTTTTAAACTAAATTAACAGAGCCAAAACAATGCTGCGCCAGTTTTTGAACAACTTTACTTACCACCCTAAATATGACACGATACAGAGTCTGTCACATTAAACTTTTCTGAAATATATTAGAGACCATTTTGCAAACAAATTTGTTTGTGAAAGTTCCATGAGGACCATAAATGTAATAACAGCCTTTCCTCCTCATTTTGAAATTTTCGAAAACGTCACTAATAAAGGCGGTCGAATTTTACAGGCTAATTGTATTATCATCACCGATCGTTTTCTTCCGCATCGCGTTATTATTTGGGGAATTAACATCGGCATTATGCCAGTTTTAATTTGAAAAGAAGTTACATCCCGTGAAAAGTTACCCTTGTTGTAAATTCAGTAAATACGATTATTACGATTCAACAGCGCCTAAAATAGAGTCTCGTTTTATCTATCACTGGCTCATAAATCAAGAGTCGTGGTATTTTCGTTAGCATTCAATTCCTTATTGTCAGTCAAAAATGTGTGTTTCAGATCTACTCTCTTAACGATAGATAGATACGACGATAGATAACATACTGCGGCCATTTCAGTTCCGGGCGAAATAAAACAATTATCGGCGTTATATACCGACGAAACTGAACCCGACTTTTCTCCCGAAAATGTTGATATATAACTATAAGCTAATTAATATCTGCATTTATTGTACTAAATAAATTATACTCATTGGAATTGCAATAATAGCTCAAATTTGATGAATTTTCAAGATAGCAAAAATAGGAAATTGGATTTGTTCGTGCAGCTTACCATTTATTTTCATATCTAGAGTAGAAATGCTTTTATTTTAAGGTAAGTCGGGCTCTTCTATACTGCAAATACGCAATAATCACATTTTTCTGCGTGTTTTGTGATGTAATACTATAGTCAAGTTCACTCCAGCATTACACGGATGACTAAAATATGCAGAGTGGTGTGGATATAAGTGAATATTATATGCTCTGAGAGATGTCATTGGCCACTCAACAAAAAATATAAAAAAAATCACTAATGCGCATATGCATTATTTATACTGCTCTATTATCCGGTTAACCGTTACAATAATATCCGGTTATCAGATAGCAAAATACCTCTTGGTTAATCGGTTATCCGGTTAACCGCTATCCGGATAATCCAACCCTATTAGGAAATCGTGAGCCATGCAATCATTATCCAATGAAAAAAATTATTTTTCTTGCTCTATTGAATCCAGACTCCGTTCATTCCATGTTAAATATATTTTATATACATATGTAAACTGCGTAATGAAAGGCCTCAATTTCGCCAATTTTTATATATGATAAAAAATATTATAAACTGTGAACAGACTATTGCAACTAAAAATAGTAAACTATCAATCCATAAGAAGAAGTGGAAAACTATTATGTGCTCGTTTTTTTTAAATACAATTGTATTTGGGGTATTGTTTCGATATAATGTGATGTTTTTATTAATAAAAAAAATGAAAATAAAGAAATTCAAAAATAATGATGTAAAAATTCTAATCTTTGCACTGGATTCTATTTTGAATACCAAAAAATCGTCGGCCACTTCGCTTCGTAGTAAAAATGATCAGGGTTGTAATATCAAAATTAATAATTTACTGTAATGTGCAGTTCATGTTAGTTTCTGCTGCAATTAAAGCTATAATAGCATAGAATGTTTTCTGCGGACGAAACGGATACACAATAACAAACTAAACTTGACAAAAAAATCTCACAACCACCACTTTCAAAGGAACGCAATGAAGAAAATATGCAACTCGACCAACTAGAAATAGATGCAATCACACCGTTGATGAAACTAATAAATGAAAGTGATATAATAGAAAATAATATTTTAAAAGAATCAGAGTAAAGATGAAAAGCCTGAAAGTCAGCCAAAGATCCTTTTGATAGGAGATTCGCAGATAAAAAGAATAAAAGATGTAATCTCACCACAAACTGTCAAAACAATTTATATACCAGACGGTACATTCATGCATGGCGAGGAATGGTTAAAAGCTAAAGACCCATGTGTAGTAAATCTCGCCATATATTTTAAAACAAATCATTTAGATTTACCAATGAAGTTCTGGGGAAAAAACGACCCACTTTACGAGAAAGATGGTTCTGTCAGGAATATTAGTGTATGAAGTGCAACAACATATGACTTTCAAAAAAGAAAGATTGACAAACTACCCGAGTCATTATCAAAAATACCATAAATAAAGGATATATGGAAAATGATCATACTTTATAAGCGACAGCATGCTGATATGAGTTGTATCGTTCAGAAACAAGAGTTCTCAGGAACTGGAAAGAAACACTGAAATTACAGGATTAATATGCAACTATGTATAGATTATGTTATTTCTGAAGTACAATATAAGTGTGTGTATATGAATTTATAAATGGATGTGTAGACTAAAATAAATAAATGACTAACCTTTCAAAAAAAAGTCAGTCGCCACATAGTCATATTCAATCAAATAAATTATCTCGCACGTATGCGAGTACATTGAGAAATCCTGCGCATACCCCAAATGACCAGAACATGTGAATCAGAATGTGCAAAAGAAATATCGCATTGACATGTCCGACGGGCGGAAAAATCCCCATCTGTGAAGATGTGAAGAGCAAGAATTTTTTACTTTCGTCAAACCAGAACAACAAAGCATATTTACAATATAAGAGTTCAAAGTTTTCATGTGATACGACCGTTAATACTTATTGAATCACCGCTAAGGCCAGCAGATTCTTTTGTCTTTCATCAATTCTGTACGTGGCACCTATTTTAACTATACATTTTATTCAAATGAAAAAGTGGAAGATTTTATTTTCACAAACAAAGTTGTAGAATTTGTTACTAATGACAAAACTGGAAATCGCTTATATTGCTTTTCTCTCAAATAATAAGGTAGCTCAACTCAATTAAACTTTATTTTGCAAACCTGTAAATCAACGGTGCACAACCTGCGGCCGTCGCGAAAAAAAATGCGGCCGTCCACATACAAAATCCTATGAAAAAAAAGTTCAAAATATAGGATTTAGCGGCTATGCTGGCGTATATTGAAGCAAAACAGAAGCACTGCAAAAAAGTCTCTAGATGGTGGCGAA